GAAAGAGTTTCCATCATCTGGTTCACTCTACCAGATGGCTGCAATGGCGGCCATTTTTGTTCATTTAAAAGATACACAGACGGTGTTGGCAGGAGGGTGCCTATCTCCTGTTCCCTGGTTCATTCCCCAAATGCCTTCCACAAGTGGGGGTGGGCTGCGCCAGGCCAAGTCAAGAGCTGGAAACAACCCAGGACACCCTTGTGGGTGGGAGGTACCCGACTACTTGAGCCATCGTAGCTGCCCAGGGTACATGTTAGTGGGAAGCTGGAATCTAGAGCAGGGTCCATACTTGAACCCAAGCATTCCAGTATGGGATGTTTGCATCCTTAGGGCATCTTAATGACTGCGAGATGCCTGCCACCCCCATACTTTTGTTTTCAGTTATGACTGCTTTTGAACTCTTGTATGCCACATCCTTTCCCTTCTTTCAGTCTGTTGCTTCCCTCCCTTCTCTGTCTCTTATTTTCTTTGCCGGTTTGTGATGCTGCTGCTTTTCCCTCTTTTTTATGCTTGGCAGCTCTGCCCAGGCTTTCTGTGTGTTGTTGTGTAGATTTTACTTCTTCACTCCCTGTCACATTTGTTCTCGGTTCACCTCACTTTTGTGGTTGCAAGGATAACTGCAGCTTTCCACTCCTCTTTTATCTCTGTCCATTTGGTGGTTGTGACATGTATACCTTATTCCTGAACTCTAATGTAACATACTGAGATTTTGTTTAACCATGGAATTTTTCCATTTTGCTATAAAATTCTCACTGCTTACAGAACACCAATCATGGTTTGCTCCCTGTGATTGAGGAATGCATTGCATTTCCATTGGGAAAGTGCTCAGCATGCCACCCTCCAATCTTTCAAAAGTACTGGAATTTACTTCTCTGTTTGACTCATTCTCTCCCACAGTTCTGTACCACCTCCCAGTCACAGAGGAAAAGCAAATTCTCTTAATTCATTTCTGTTAAGATTTGGGAATTAATGAAAATCAACTCATTTCTATGAGGATTGTGAGGATTGAGCTGGGAGCCTTGACAAACAGGGCTTTTCTGTTCTGCCTTAGAATCTTCTGTGTCTTTCCTTGACTATCAGCTTTCAAAGTTCATGATTTTGGGCTGTGCCTACCTTATGTTATCTGCTGCTGGAAAAACAACCCACTTTCCTATTTACTTTGCTTCCTGCCTTTTTTCTTGATATTGAGTGAAAACCAAAAGGAAGATTATTTGAAGAAGTCATTCCATCTCTTTATCACAGACATCTTTCTCTAAGTCTTTCTCTTTAGGTTTTTGTTTGTTTTTAAATTGTGGGTAGATATGCATAAAATTTACCATCATAACCATTTGTGCAATTCAGTGACACTAAGTACATTATATTGTTGTGCAACCATCACCACCATCTGTCTGCAGAATTCTTGTCATGTTGCAGAATTGAACTCTATCCCTAAAACTGTAACTCCCCTTCCACACCAACCCTAGTGCCTTTTGTAAAACTATTGAAACTGTTCTTTTGGTATTTATTTTCTTGTGAATAAGAAACTTTAGTCTTAGAGTCGATTTAGGAAAAGTTTGGTCCTGTTGACTTGCTGGACCTGTTACTGGGTACAACGTGCTGTATAGATTCCCTTTGTACTATATGTTTGCCAGAAGCACAGTAACTATCTTTTTCTAAAAATTCAGCAGGTTAAAACCCTGGCCTACAGTGCCAGCATTCCATGGGGGCGCCAGTTCAAGTCCTAGCTGCTCCACTTCCGATCCAGCTCCTTGCTAATGCACCTCGGAATGCAGCAGAGGATGGCCCAAGCCCTTGGGCCCCTGTAACCCTGTGGGAGTCTGGGAGAAGCTCCTGGCTCCTGGATTTGGATTGGCTCAGCTCTGGCTGTTGTGGCCATTTGGGGAATGAACCAGTGGATGGAAGACCTCTCTCTGTCTCTACCTCTCTCTGTACCTCTTCCAAATAAATGAAATAAATCTTAAAAAAAAATTTAACAGCAGCAGAGACAGAGATCTAGCCACTGGTTCACTCCCCCAGATGCCTATAACAGCCAAGAGTCATAACTCCATATAGGTCTCCCATAAGGGTGGCAAGGATCCAAACACTTGAGCCATTACCTGCTGCTTCCCAGAGGGCACATTAGCAGGAAGATGGGTCAAAAGTGGAGCAGGGACTTAAACCCAGGCACTCCTATGGGAGATACAAGTGTTCCAGGAAGCATACTAATCCTTGCAATGAATACTCTCCAAACAGTAACAATTTTGATCTTAGATTATCTGGTATGTTTTGTATTTCCAGTTTATTTTTATGTGCTTAAACCCCTCAGAGCTTAACCCCTGTGCTGGATGTGTGGAGCTAGGCCACAAATTGAGGTACTCCGATATGAGGTATCTTAACTGCCAGGCCAAGCACCTGCCCCTAATGTATGCATTTTATTGCTACCTAAGCACACAATTTATATGGCAGCTGAAATGCTTTGAAATTCATCTACATCACTAAGGTTTTTTAGTAGAGTTAAATTATAGTTAAGATAGACAGAAAATTTTAACTGATTATAAATTTGAAAGATGTTATGTTCAAAAATACGCTGATAACATTTTAAAGGGAGAAGGAAATCTTGGGACTTTTTTTTTTTTTTTTGACAGGCAGAGTGGACAGTGAGAGAGAGAGACAGAGAGAAAGGTCTTCCTTTGCAGTTGGTTCACCCTCCAATGGCCGGCGCACTGCGCTGATCCAATGGCAGGAGCCAGGTACTTATCCTGGTCTCCCATGGGGTGCAGGGCCCAAGCACTTGGGCCATTCTCCACTGCACTCCCTGGCTGCAGCAGAGAGCTGGCCTGGAAGAGGGGCAACTGGGACAGAATCCGGCGCCCCGACCGGGCCTAGAACCCGATGTGCCGGCGCCGCAAGGCGGAGGATTAGCCTAGTGAGCCGCGGCACCGGCTGGGACTTTTTTTTAACCCTTGCAAGAGTCCTAGTTTATTACTTGGTAGTTTTATTATCTCCATTTCATCTGAAAACTGAAACTGGAGCTTATTCATGCAAAATGACTTTCCCAAGGTCTCACAGCTAATAAAAATAGAAGTGGGATTTGAATCTTTTTTTTTGTAAAAGAGATTAAAGTAGAACCTTTATAAATTATGTATGTTTACTGGCTAGAACATTTCATAGTATAAGCATGAACTGTTTGTTATGTCTTTATTGTATAAATACTTCAGAAATATTTATACATTCCTGGGACTATATCCTAAGGAAATAACCTTTGGTAGAGGATGAAGTGAATCACTTTCCAAAGTTCAGAAATTTAAAAACATAGACTACACCCTGAGATTTACACTTACATATACTAGGCCAAACTAGAAATGTACAAAATATCATAAAGGTAAATGATAGCTCTAAGTCTGCAAATATTTTAATGTGTTTGTGAAATTTAGAAATTACTTCCATTGACAATAGAAGAGTAAATAGTATTACTCATCAGGAGACAGTGGCTTTGATTCTAAGTTTTTTCCTTCCAAACAGTGAAAGAGACTTCTTATGCTCTTTAATTCTTTAATTTTCCTGTTTTCCCGAACATTCCCTGTCCTCTCTCCTAATTCCACAACCATGGCTGATACAATGTTGAGCATACATCAAGACTGAGGAGGTGGGAAAGAAAGATGAAGCCAGTTTTAAGATTTTTAAGAATTTATTTGAAAGGCAGAGTGACACAGGGAGAGGGAGAGATCTTTTATGTAAATCTTATTGCTTCATAGTTCAGGAAATGAGAACCTGGAAGGAAATACAAAGGTATGTAAGACATGCATATCACTTACGAATCATTCAATACATGGAAATATCTCCTCCAGTGAACTGAGAGTCTGATTAGGGCAGGAGTCCATGACTTTGGCTCTGCGTGACAAGCACAGAAGGAGCTTTTCTTTTCTTTTCTTTCCTTTTCTTTCCTTTCCTTTCCTTTTCTTTTTTTTAAAGACTTATTTATTTGAAAGAGTTATACAGAGGAGAGGAAGAGAGAGCGAGAGATAGAGAGGTCTTCCATTTGATGGTTCACTCTCCAATTGGCTGCAATGGCCAGAGCTGTGCCGATCTGAAGCCAAGAGTCAGGAGCTTCTCCTGGGTCTCCCACATGGGTGCAGGGACCCAAGGACTTGGGCCATCCTCTACTGCCCTCCCAGGCCATAGCAGAGAGCTGGATAGGAAGTAGAGCGGCCGGGCCTCAAACCGGCGCCATATGGGGTGCCAATGCTTCAGGCCATGGCGTTAACCCACTGCGCCATAGCACTGGCCCCCACCAAAGGAGCTTTTAAGAAATACAAATGTATCCATCCTGGCTATTGTGATAAATGAACCTTTGATAGGCTCTGGGAATCAGATAATCCCTATTTGTTTACTTGATTATTTTTAAATGCCATGAGATTTTTTTCCTGTTTTGTTCACCACTATCTCCCCCACACCTAGAACAATGCCTAGCACACAGTAGCCCCCCAATAAAGACTTCTTAATGGGAAAAAGAATTATCTTTGGGTCTTTGGTGACTCTCTTTGTTTCTATATAGGAAAAATTTTAAAATTTAGAAGTTACTTCTAAAATTACAAATTAATCCTTTTTAAGTTACTTATCTGCATCAGTATACAATTAAATATACACATTAAAATATATTTTTAGTTTTGTGTATATCCAATCATGTACTCTAAATTAGTATGATAATACATTATTCATGGAAAACACAGCTTCTAAGTGAGAGTTTTCAGAGAGATAAAATTAATCTTAATGGTGATCGATTCTCTTTGCTGCATTCTGGTCATTATCGTCATCCTCTGGCAACCACAAATCTGTTCTTCATCCTTACAATTTTGGATTTTCTGAACCCTTTTGAATCTGACATCTTTCACTTAGCATACTGCATTTAAAGTTCATTCATGTTTGATGTATCAATAGTTTATTTTTATTGCTAAATGAAATTTCATTGAATCTGGAACAGATATGTCAACATCTTGCTCTGTTTTATTCTTTTTGTTTAGCTTTCCAGAGTGTTGGATCTTCCACCAGAAAACTTGATCAAGTCAATATCTGCAGTTCCAGTTTCCAGAAAAGAGTTAAGTATAACATATTTGTAGCAATCGAAAATGTTGCTAACTTTGTTGATTTTAAAAAAAAATTATTGTTCTTTGATTTACAGAGTAGTCCTTGAAATTAATCATAACATATTTTTCATATGACTTAAATAATGAAATGAGAATCTGTATTTTAGATGTTTTCATTTGGCAGATTATATTTTTGTTAATTACTAGCATAAAGAAACATGAAATTATAATTATTGCCAAGTCTTTGGGAATGAGATTCAACTTTAATTCTGTTAATAAGTAAAAGAACTATAGTAGTTAGGATCATAAGGTTTTGAAGGGACCATGAAGACTATAACCATCTGATACTTGGACACTGTTATGCCATGTTTATCTCAAATTTTGTGTATTGATTTGTTTGTTGAGTTTACGCTTGAGGACTTCCAGTGATAGAAAACTATTGGTTAGGACCACATACAACTGCCGTTGCCTTCTTGGATGCAGGGTGGTATCGATCTTATTTGGTCACCCTTGTCGAAACTTATTGACCATTTGGTTAGAAAACGTCAGTACTTGAATAAAACACTCTAATTCAGTTAATAATAAAAAAAAAAAAACTACTATGTGGCCTTATCTTGGAAGAGATGTAAAAATAAAATTACCATTATATTATGTCGTTGTATTTCATTTCCTTGATGTTGTCAGGACTTTCAGAGTGGTATGAATATTCTTGTTCCTAGAATAGGACAAAGAAATAAATGGTAAAGGAAGAGAAAGGCTACATTTGACCTTATAAGAAAAGAGAGTATTTATAAAATGGCCCATTACAACTTCCTTTATATTGAGTTCCAAGAACAGAGGCACCCACTAACCAGAGATCCCATTATTATTGTAACCTTTCAAACTGGGTTACCTATTTTAAAAAATCTGTAAGTTACATTCTACATAATAAGGGAAATGTCTCAGTTTTATGTTTCAAGGGCTTTTAATAAGCTGAACTATGTTGGCCCATATTTTGAAGACAATTTGCTCTACTTACCTCTGCTTGAAGGACTAAGACTTTGATTTATAGAAAAATATTTTAAAAAATAAAACAAATATTGCTGAGGACTTACCAATTTTTCTGTACTATCAGTCTAAAATTCTGTATATTTTAATTTTTCTTGCAGAGAACCTCTACCACTTTTCAGTAATAAACTCAGATATTCCTTGTAGGTCTAAAATCAAACCTAATTGTTTTATATTTCTAAGTTTATTCTAGAATATTATTAAATACAAGGACAATTAAGAAATATTTTTCCTCCTTTTTTTAAAGATTGATTTATTTATTTAAATGCAGAATTACACAGAGGCAGTGGGAGAGGGAGGAAGAGAGGTCTTCTATCTGCTGGTTCACTCCCCAAATGGCTGCGACTGGGGCAGATCTCATCCGGAGCCAGGAACTTCTTCCAGGTCTCCCACACAGGTGCAGGGGCCTAAGGATTTGGGCCATCTTCTACTGCCTTCCCAGGCCATAGCAGAGAGCTGGATAAGAAGTGGAGCAGCTGGCCGGCGCTGCAGCTCACCAGGCTAATCCTCCACCTTGCGGTGCCGGCACACCGGGTTCTAGTCCCGGTCGGGGCGCCGGATTCTGTCCCGGTTGCCCCTCTTCCAGGCCAGCTCTCTGCTGTGGCCCGGGAGTGCAGTGGAGGATGGCCCAAGTACTTGGGCTCTGCACCCCATGGGAGACCAGGAAAAGCACCTGGCTCCTGCCATTGGATCAGCATGGTGCGCCAGCCGCAGCGCGCCAGCCGAGGCGGCCATTGGAGGGTGACCCAACGGCAAAGGAGGACCTTTCTCTCTCTCTCTCTCTCACTGTCCACTCTGCCTGTCAAAAAAAAAAAATGGAGCAGCTGGACTCGAACCAGTGCCCATATGGGATGCTGGCACTGAAGGCAGCGGCTTTACCTACTGTGCCACAGTGCCAGCCCCAAAATATTTTTCTTGATGTGTTTTTTTTTTTTTAATACAGTATGGATCAGTGTCTTCAGATCTGTTCTCTTTTTTTTTTTTTCTTTTTTTAAAGATTTACTTATTTGAGAGGGAGAGTTACAGACAGGGAGAGACAAAGAAAGGTCTTCCATCTGCTACTTCACTCCCCATCTGGAGCTGGGCCAATTCAAAGCCAGGACCCTGGGGCTTCTTGATTTCCCACATGGGTGCACAGGCCTAAGCACTTTCACTGCTTTCCCAGGCCATTAGCAGAGAGCCGATTGAAAGTGGAGCATCCAGGCCATGAACTGGTGCCTGTATGGGTTGCTAGTGCCACAGGTAGAGGCTTAACCTACCACACCACAGAGCTAACTCCACTCTAAACTGTTTTTCAGCTATAGTGGAACTCTTATATAATCCTATATAATACTTCCAATAGTGGACAGAATCAGTAACTTGAGAAGCATTGAAGTATAAGGATTTCATACTAACCAACACACCCACAACTCCTCAAAATTACTGAGAAAATAGCTGTTGAATTTTAAACTTATTATTTTCTTAATTATAAGAAATATGAAAGTAGAAGACTAATTTGTACAAACTACTTTTGTCCATTACCCATCATCATCTAAACAGGACAGGTTTTGTTTCATCTAATGCCATTACTCACTGTCATCCTTCACATTGGATTATTTTGTTTGCCTGGATGTTATGTCTCTTTTTTTAAAGGTTTTTTTTTTTTTTAAAGATTTATTTATTTATTTGAAGGATGAGTTACAGAGAGGCAGAGGCAGAGAGAGAGAGAGAGGTCTTCCATCCACTAGTTCACTCCCCAGATGGCTGCAGCAATCGGAGCTGTGCTGATCCAGAGCCAAGAGCTTCCTCCAGGTCTCCCATGTGGGTGCAGGTGTCCAAGGACTTGGGCCATCTTCCACTGCTTTCACAGGCCATTACATTATTAAATTACCCACTACAGCACTGGCCCCAAAACAAATTAATTTTTAAAAAACTTTAAAGGGGCCAGCGCTGTGGTGTTGTGGGTAAAGCTGCCATCTGCAGTGCCGGCATCCCAAGTGGGCGCCAGCTCAAGTCCGGTTGCTCCACTTCTGATCCAGCTCTCTGCTATGGCCTGGGAAGGCAGTAGAAAATGGCCCAAGTCCTCTGGCCCTTGCACCGGCGTGGGAGACTTGGAAGAAGCTCCTGGCTTTAGACCGCCGCAGCTCTGGCTGTTGTAGCCACGTGGGGAGTGAACCAGCAGATGGAAGACCTCTCTGTCTCTGCCTCTGCCTCTGCCTCTCTCTAACTCTGCCTTTCAAAGAAATAACTAAATGTTTAAAAAATATTAATTTGTTTTTGTATCACAAAAGCAAAATATAATGTACTTAAAGAAATTGAGGGAAATACAGAAGAATGAGGAAAAAAGTGTTCCCAGGTTACTTTGGGAAGAAAACTGACTTTCAGCAAGTTAGTGTATTTTTCATTTTTTTCTCTTTAAACATGTTTTTCAACCCTTAACAAAAATGTAGCTGTAAAACTGCAGCCAGGGTCCAGTGTCATGGTACAGCAGGTTAAGCTGCCACCTATAAAGCTGCATTCCATATGTGTGCTGGTTTGAGTGCTGGCTATTACTTCCAGTCGTGCTAATGTGCCTGGGAAAGCAGCTGAACATGACCCAAGTGCTTGAACCCGTACCCCTTCCACCCATATGTGGGAAACCTTGATGGAGTTTCAGGCTCCTGGCTTTGACCTGACCCAGCTCCAACCACTGAGGTCATTTGGGGAGTGAACCAGCAGATGGAAGGTGTGTGTCTGTCTGTCTCTCTCTCTCTCTTTCTCTCCCCAGCTTTGGTTCTCCTCCCTTTCCCTCCCTCTCTAACCCTACCTTTCAGATAAGTAAATACTTTAAAAAAAAATGTGCAAGGATATAATTTGAATTTTTTTGTAAATGCCATTTTTAATAATGTAATGTTCCTTTTTTTAAGATTTATTTATTTTAAAAGAGTTATAGAGAGACAGAGACAGAGATCTTCCATCTGCTGGTTCACTCCCCAGATAACCACAACTGCCAGCACTGGGCCAGGTCAAAAGCCAGGAGCTTCATTTGGGTCTCCCACGTGAGTGGCAGGGGACTAAGCACTGGAGCCATCTTTCACTGCTTTTCCCAGACTATTAGCAAGGGATCTGGATCAGAAGTAGAGCAGCCAGGGCATAAACCAGTGCCCATGTCAGATGCTAGTGTCACATGGAATAGTTTTGCCCACTGCTACACAACACCAGCCCCAATGTTGTAATATAGCATTCCCCTGTTGATGGACATTTAGATTGTTCTTGGTTCTGACTTTATATGATTATATAATTCATATCAAGAAACTCTTTGGGTTTTTTTGGTTTGTTTGTTTTAAGATTTATTAATTTGAAAGACAGTGACGGAGGGAAAGAAAATAAGATCTTCCATCATTTTTTCATGCTACAAATGGCTTGGTCTTTCACATTGGTGACAATACTTGGGCAATCATCTGGTGCTTTAGCAGGGAGCTGGATCTCAAGAAGAGTAGTAGAACTTAAACTGATGGCTGGATATGGTATGCTGCTGTAGCAAGTGGCTTAATCAGCTGAGCCACAATACTGGCCCCAAGAAACTCCTCTTTAAATGGAAAAAGCAAGAATTTATTTTAGATGTGTAATTAACTCCCAAAAGAGAAAATTGGGATGCTGATTGTTACAGTTGATTTCTCAACAATGTTGCAGTGGATTCGTTTCTGAGAGGTGGAGCGTGGTGGGGGCAAGAGGCGCAGAGTCACCACACAGAGCCCAGGAGTTGGGTGAAAGCGAGCTTGAGGCAAGCAGCCCACAGACTCATTTATTTCAGTTAGTACAACAGCTTATGTAGTCAAGACCAGCCAATCCGGTCAAGGGGCGGTCTGTGCCCCAACCAATCACGGCCTGTTGCCAGGCAGTTTCCAAAGCCATCCAATCACAGCCTGTTGCCAGTCAGGCTCTTGTTGCCAGGCAGTTTCTGAAACCATCCAATCATGGCCTGCCATCAGTCAGGCTCTGTTGTCATGCGGTTTCCGTAGCCATCCAATCACGGCCTGTTGCCAGGCAGTTTCTGTTGTCAGTGGCCATCTTGGCATGACCTTTTCACCTCAGTGGCCATCCTGATATGACCTTTTCACCTCATTCCACCACAGCTGATAAGAGTAGTTGAGGGGCCAGTACTGTGGCACAGCAGGTTAAAGCCGCAGCCTGCAGTGCTGCATCCCATATGGACGCTGATTTGAGTCCTGGCTGCTCCACTTCTGATCCAGCTCACTGCTATGGCCTGGGAAAGCAGTGGAAGATGGCCCAAGTCTTTGGGCCCCTGCACCTGCATGGGAGACCTGGAAGAAGCTCCTAGCTCCTGGCTTGCAATCAGCTCAGCTCTGGCTGTTATGGCCATCTAGGGAGTGAACCAGCAGATGGAAGACCCCTGTCTCTGTAACTCTGTAGTTGAACTCCTTCATCTCCCTAAAGCATTTTATTCTCTGTTGAACTTTTCTTCCTGGTGAATCCACATAATTTCAGAATTTGTATTTTAAATATTCTTAATAAGTTTGTGTTAATAAACGTGGACTCTTGTCCTGATGCAGGGCTACTTGGAATATTTTTTATTTCAGTGAAATGATGTAATTTTTAATTTGAATCATATTAATATGTTATTCATATCTGGAAGATAATCTTGGGTGCTGCCTAAGTCATTTTTTTAAAAAAATAGGAATTATGTGACTTCTTTGTGTTTCTGTGGTGTTTGAGCACTGTACTGTTTTGCAAATTTGAAATGTTTTCAAAAATATCCCAGCTATAGATCAAAAAGCTATAATTTAATGTTTGGTAAATTTGGATCTGTTTCATTTCAATAACTGTTATTAGGATTCTTGTTATTTTTAATTTTCCTTGATTTTTGAAATTTTTGGTGTTTGTTACTCTGTCATGTTTTGAGTGTTATTCCCATTTTATTAAATGAATTTCTTCACTTTAACGCCTTATATATTGGCACAAATATTTGAGTCATCAAAGTCTTTTAGTGAGAATGACACATTCACATCTTATGAATGTCCACAGTTAAAGCTAAGTTTTAAAAAGTTGAATTGTCATACTTGTTAGAGAATAGTCTCTGAAAAGAAACAGTTTGCCAAGTTTGTTAGTATATAAAGAAGTACAGAAAGAATTTCCTAGAAATCAGTACTGTTATTATTTAACATTTTTATTTAACATTAAAACTTGGGTTAGTATTTTTAACTTTGCAGCAACATTATTAAGTAGGTACCATTATTTTCACCATTTTGTTGAAGTACAGAGCTTAAGCAATATGCCCAAGATCACACAGACACTGGTAGATTCACTTGATCTTCTTTTACACCTCAAATTTCAGTAGATGAGTTTGGCCTGGTAAGTGTAATCCAACCTAGGCTGCACTAGGCTGCAGAATAGTGGATTAAGGCTTTGGAAATTTTTTTTTTTTTGTCTTAGTTCATTTTTAAAATTTATATGAAAGGCAGAGTTACAGAGAGGAAAGATCTTCCATCCACTGATTGACCCCTTAAATGGCCACAACGAAGCCAGCAGCTTATTCTGGATCTCCTACGTGGTGGCAAAGGTCCAAGTTCTTAGATCATCTTCCACTGCTTTCCCAGGCACATTAGTAGGGAACTGGATTTAAGTAGAGCAGCCAGAACTCTAACCTGCACCCATATGGGGTGCTGGTACCTCAGAGGGTAGCTTTACCAAGTAAGCCACAGTATAGAAATTTCCCCTAGGGAAATTCTTAATAGTCATCGTGTGCTATGTTTGTAAATGTGATGTTAGCCAAAAGTCACACAGGAATTTTTAGACTTTTCTCTGAATTTCATCAGTTATATAAAGGAAGTCACTAGTACCCCTCCAAAATAAATTGTTTTATGCCAGTGACAGATAAGATGGGATACACTGCTGACAGAGTAATTTTCAGATTTCTTATTAAATATCTAAAGATGTCAGTGTGGGTGGTTATATAGATATCAATTAATATGTTATAATATTATAAAGCTACAATTAGGTAATTGAAGAATTGTGTAAGATGGTAAGAAATAAAAGTTGTAAATTAATACACAGTGAGTTCTAATTTCTTTGCTTTAAATTTTGAAAGTATAATAACTTCTGATAAAGCTATAAGTATACAGAAGCCACTGTGATTAGTCTTTGTTAACATTAGCAATGTTTTTAAGGTATCATCAGCTGTTTCTCATTTCAATGTCTATCTTTAGAGAAGTAGCTGATTTCCAGCTTTCTTTGGATTCTTTGTTGGCAAACAATAACCATTCAAGCTCAGATATTCAAGTTCAAGCCAAGAGACTGGCAGAGAAGGTATGTTAACACCATTCCCTCTTTTTATCATTATAGTTAAAGGAAAAAATTGTATCATGAATAGTGGTGTTTTTTTATTCAAGGCATCTTGGAAAATATAATCTAAATTGATTTTACCCATATAAAATAAGCCTATGGTGATTTTTCAAATTAGTTATAAAACGTTCTTCTTGAGCTGATATCGTTTAAAATTTTGATTAGTTACAGAAGGTCTGAAGTGTTAATTAGATTTACAGATTGAAGCTGGATGGACTTTTGAATTTAGGAAAGCAAGCTTGGTGAATTAGACCAGTGGGCTGCAGTTTTTAAAATGAGTTTCTGAGAAGATGAACATTCAAATATGAGAAGAAATGATTAAATGGAAATAGAATTGTGATTACAGATTAGTGGTTAGATGATTCAATAAACCACTTTCATTTCTAAGTTCTCTGGAGGGTTTGGTATCTGAAAAAGAAATTGAAAGCTTTGTCAAAAATGACCAAATCTAAATTATTAGTGTAGTATCCTTGGAAAAGACAAATGTTGCACAAGGTTTTTTATTATAAGTGACACAGAAGAGGTGTCTAGGAACTCTGAGGAACTGAAACAACAGAAGTCACTATCACAGGAAAAGATGTGCAATTAAAGAATGATATCATAGGCTGGTGCCGCAGTTCAATAAGCTAATCCTCCACCTGCGGCGCCGGCACACCAGGTTCTAGTCCCGGCTGGGGCACCGGATTCTGTCCCGGTCGCTCCTCTTCCAGTCCAGCTCTCTGCTGTGGCCTGGGAAGGCAGTGGAGGATGGCCCAAGTACTTGGGCCCTGCACCCGCATGGAAGACCAGGAGAAGCACTTGACTGCCAGCCGCAGCAGCCATTGGGGGGTGAACCAACGGCAAACGTCTCTCTCTCTCACTGTCCACTCTGCCTGTCAAAAAAAAAAAAATGATAAAAGAGCTTTGATAACCTTAGTAAATATTTATTTGATAACAATCACCCCAGGTGTTTATCAGGAAGTCATATCAGGAGTAGAATTATTCCAGTTATCATATCTAGTTCCCCTTTTTCTTTATATTGGCTTATCAGTGGCAACAATATCTTTTTTTTTTTTTTTTAAGATTTTATTTATTTATTTGAGAGACAGAGTTACAGACAGTGAGAGGGAGAGACAGAAAGGCCTTCCTTCCACTGGTTCACTCCCCAAGTGGCCACAAAGGCCAGAGCTGGGTCAATCCAAAGCCAGGAGCCTGGAGCTTCCTCCTAGTCTGCCATGTGCATGCAGGGGCCCAAGGGCCATCTTCCATTGCTTTCCCAGGCCATAGCAGAGAGCTGGATTGGAAGAGGAGCAGACGGGACTAGAACCGGCGCTCATATGGAATGCTAGCACTGCAGGCTGAGGCATCATAGCACTGGTCCCAATAGTATCTCTTTAAGTTCCATACATTTTCTTGGGATTTTGGACTGTAAGAAAGCTATTTAAATTATTTACATTTTACATGTTGGTACAAGTGCTTTAGCATATACCCTGACAGAATGTCATGTTAATGTTGTGAGGTGGATGAGATAAAAAGTGTCAGAATTGGTAGAGTGAGGTCACCTATAAGTCTCTGAATTGTGACCATAATTGCAGTGTGAAGTACTATCACCCTCTTCTTTCCTCATTAGTTGGAAGAATTTGAGGGAAGGGAAAGAGGAAGAGAGAGTGCTAATCCAGAATGGCACTCCAGTCAGGAAAAAGAAAATCTGTTTACCTAAATACAATGATGGAAATGAAGTGATTGGATAAAGCTTATGTCCAGATATAATGACCATGAAGAAGAAAACTCACCTGTTGTCTTTGTAAGCCAGTTTTATAGAATTAAAACTATGTGTCTCATTGACCTATTTTCTAGCATGCCTATCTTACACCATTTATCGTTTCAGCTAAAATGCGACACAGTTGTGAGTGAAATCAGCACTGGTCGAGGGACTGTAAATTTTAAAATAAACAGAGAACTGTTAACAAAGGTAAGAATGGATAATTGTTCATCCATGTGCTTTCACTGTCTGCTTTAGCCATAGTGGTGGTTCTTCAGTTTCTAAACTGTGCCTCCTCTTAGCTGAAAACCTTTGCACATACTGATCCTTTGTCTGGAGTGCTGCCCCCAAGTTAACACCCACTGATCTTTCACATCTTGGTATTTCTTCAGTATCTTTTTGATCCTTTCATTTAAGCTATGAAAGCACTGTGTTATCTCTTTGTAGAACCTACCATAGTTACTGTTTTATTTTCCTTTTAATTGGAATAATGCCTCTTGCCCTTTAAGTTCTAATTCGTATTAGAGTTTTGGGGGTCTATAAACCATTAGATCTCCATTTCCTAGCACAGTGCCTGGCATCTAGTAGGTACTAGACAACTATTTGTTGAATGAATAAATGGACTCAATTGAATGTAATATAGGTACTGCTGGTTTCTACTGTCTGGCAACCTATAATCTGTTGGAAGCATAAGAAAAAGAAGTCATGAGACAGCTGCTTCTTTTAATAAAACAATAAATAGTAGAACAAAAAATGGTGGTTGATACAGTATGCATAATTCAGAGGTGGGAAAATCAGGATGGCCAGAAAGAGTTGGAGAAACCTCATAGATGGGGGCTGGCGCTGTGGCGCAGCGGGTTAAAGCCCCGGCCTGCAACGCCAGCATCCCAGTTGGGCACTGGTTCGAGTCCCAGCTGCTCCACTTCCAATCCAGCTCCCTGCTAATGTGCCTGGGAAAGTAGCGAAGTATGGCCCAAGTCCTTGGGACCCTGCACCTGCGTAGCAGACCCAGAGAAAGCTCCTGGCTCCTTGCTTCAGAATGGCTCGGCTCCAGCTGTTCTGGCCATTTGGGGAGTGAACCAGCGGATGGAAGATTTCTCTCTCTCTCTCTCTCTCTCCCTCCCTCCCTCTCCAACTCTCTCTCTAACTCTGTCTTTCAAATAAATAAAAATAAATCTTTAAAAAAAAAGAAAGAAACCTCATAGAGGAATTGGATCTCATTTGAGTGAGACCTTGGAGGACAGGCAGTCTTAGGTAGTGGTATGAGACCTTCCACTGAGAGTTCCATTGTATCATAATGTGTACATTGGCCTATTCGTTTTTAAAAAAAAATGATTTGCCAGGCTTAGTAAATGTTATACTCTTGAATTGAAAATCACCAGAAAACCAAAGTTCCTAACAACATAGTCTTTTTTTTAAGTACAAGATTTATTGTATTTATTTGAAAGGCAAAGTTGGCAGGGGAGGGGAGGTTCTTCCATCGGCTTGTTCATCCCCCAGATGACTTCAACAGTGGGGCTGGGCCATGCTGAAATGAGAAGCTTCTTCCTGGTCTCCCATGTGGGTGCAGGGGCCCAAGCACTTGGGCCATCCTCTGCTGCTTTCCCAGGAGCATTATCAGGGAGCTGGATTGGAAATGCAGCAGCCAGGACTCACACTGGCGCCCATATGGGATATTGGTGCTGCAGGTGGTGGTTTAAGTCCACCACTTATGCACAGTGCCAGCCCCACAGTTTAGTCTCTTAACAGTGCTCTACAGTTTACAGGCGTTTGCTCATCAGCTGTATAATTTTTTCTGAAGAACAGTTCATGTTTTGTACTTGCCTCTAGACCTTTGAACCTTTTTTTCTTTTTTTCATTCTTCATGGTAAATTAGTTAACCAAAATCAGCCACATGCACAGCAACATTTGTCTTGAGCTTGTTAAAAAGTATCTGTAACTTGCAGGACTCTTGAGACATTTCAGATGGACTTAGCAAACCAGTGGCTTCCCAGTTGTTTTTTCAACTTTTACAAAAGAATTGCAGCTCACCAGTAAGCCCTCCAAAGACTTGATAGTGATATTTTCCTTTATTTTTGTTTTTCCTATAATGGGAGTATGTACCAGGGTAGGTGGAGCTTTACTCTTAAGGGTAATTTAGCTGAAAGAGATGTGGTTTTTATTTAGAGATAAGGTATATATGTACTTAGTAATTTAAAATTTCATTGGCTGTGAATTTGTGGGTTTTTTTTCTGTTTTGTTTCTTTTTCATGTTTTTTTTCCTTTTGTTTTTCCCATGTTTTATTTCAATAACAAATTATAAAATTTTCTCTAGGTTACTTACTAAAAATATCTCCAAAGCCTCAATTGACAGTGAAGGGACAGGAGTCCCTTTGAACTCCAGCTAATTTTTTAAACATTGAAATTCTCCCTTTGTTGTGGCCATGAGGATCTGAATCTTAGTGGTTTTCATTAAACACAAAGTGGATTATTCACAGAAGCTCTGTTCAGTGTCACAGTAAGGTTACGTCCTAGAGCAGTGAGAACCCATAGTCTGAAAAAGGAGTCTTGAATGTGCCTTTGCTAACATTATGATTTTAATTACAGTTCCAGTTTGCTCAAAGCCTGAATTCTTTCTAATTTGACTTCATTACTTTGGGCCCTAAACAGTGGTCAGATGTTTACATGTCTAATGAGTTTTTCACATCAGGAAAAAGATTCTACTTTTTTTTTTTAAGATTTATTTATGAATTTGATAGGCAGAGGCAGAGAGAGAGAGGTCTTCCATTGGCTGGTTCATTCCCCAGATGACAGAAACAGCCAGAGCTGTGTTAATCAGAAGCCGGGAGCTTCTCCTGGGTCTCCCACATGAGTGCAGCGGCCCAAGGAGTTAGGCCATCTTCTACTGCTTTCCCAGGCCACAGCAGAGAGCTGAATCAGAAGTGGAGCAGCCGGACTCAAACTGGTGCCCGTATGGGATGGCAGTACTGCAGACATGGCTTTACCTGCTACACTACAGTGCTGGCCCCCAGATTCTACCTTTTGTAAGACCAACAGTGAAATAATTCTCTGCTTGGACTGTGACGGTAATAGCAGTGTGAAGTTCTGTTGCCTTGTACCAAACTTCTGCTTATCCGTAGCTTGCAGAGATGACTTTCAAGACAGACTGTAACTTTGAGCAGTATTTAATTAAAAGAGAGGGGGAAAAATGTGATTTTAACCGAATAGGAAAAATATAGTCAATATGCTGTTTTCTTCAGTGCCTCAGAAATACAAAACAGATAACATCATTTCATTTCACACATTTTTTATTTGCCAAATTCAACTTTGGATGCTCTACCAAAAGGAAAATAAAATAAATGGCTCCATTTCTGCTCATTATTTTATTAATATGCAATGATGCATTCAAGTTACAAATGGTTTCCATGAATACATGGAAAGAATGAATTATTTTAAACATTTTAAAACTGTTAACAAAAAATCAGCCAACAGTTAGAAAGACAAAAATTGGCCACAAAGATAAGAGTTGTAGACAAACAGAAAATACCAGCCAACTGAAGTCTGCATTAATTTGTTAAAGCATTCCCAAAAGTGAAATCTCTAAGTGACTTCATTTCTGACTTAAAACTCTTTATACACCAATATTTATATTAAAGCTTACATGTAAACATACATATTACTAAATAGATGGGCCTCTAGGTTTATGGAATAACAGGGAACTTTAGTAGGTAGCTCTAGTTAGAAGCTGGCATCTTTGTGCCCTCTAATAAAACTGCCTGCCTATTATTTATCAGAGAGTATATTACTGAGATAATATAAGACAAAATGGCTGGGAAACTGGCCTCAAGGAACTTATGATATAAAAGATAAGCATTCTAAAAATCACAGTGTAATATGTGATGGGTATGATAATGTGCTGAATATGGTAATGAAGGCATATATAGGATATATTCTCTGTTTAAAGAAATGTACAGGGGCCGGTGCTGTGGTGCAGCAGGTTAAAGCCCTGGCCTGAAGCACCCGCATCCCATGGCGCCGGTTCTAGTCCCGGCTGCTCCTCTTCTGATCCAGCTCTCTGCTGTGGCCTGGGAAAGCATTAGAAGATGGTCCAGGTCCTTGGGCCCCTGCACCCACATGGGAGACCTGAAGGAAGCTCCTGGCTTCCGATTGGCTCAGCTCCAGCCGTTGCCATCTGGGGAATGAACCAGCAGATGGAAGACTTCTCTCTATGTCTCTACCTCTCTCTGTAACTCTTTCCAATAAATAAAATAAATCTTTAAAAAAAAATAAAGAAATGTACATATAGATCTGTTTTGTAGACAGGGGACATAAGCTTGAATTGGAATGAAGATGGAGACTGTTCCTGGGAGATACAAAAGCAGGCATTCCAGGCACAGAGGTTAGCTTGGGCCATTGTATGAGCACTTCTTTTTATTTTTTTAAAGATTTGTTTATTTATTTGAAAGTCAGAGTTACACAGAGAGAGGAGAGGCAGAGAGAGAGAGAGGTCTTCCATCCGATGGTTCACTCCCAAGATGGCCGCAACGGGCGGAGCTGTGCCGATCTGAAGCCAGGAGCCAGGAGCTTCTTCTGAGTCTCCCACGCCGGGGAGGGGCCCAAGGACTTGGGCCATCTTTTACTTCTTTCCCAGGCCATAGCAGAGTGCTGGATTAGAAGAGGAGCAGCCGGGACTAGAACCGGCTCCCACATGGGATGCCGGCGCTTTCAACCAGGGCATTAACCCACTACGCCACAGTGCTGGCCCCTAAAATGAGCACTTCTAACATGATTTTTATGGATATTACAGTGACCTTTTAATACATTTCTTAAAGTTTTTAAAAAGTGATAAATGCACATTGGTAAGAAGTTTTTTTTTTTTAATTATGCAGAATCACTGAGGTTTGAATAGGATTTAGACTTAATTAAATTTTTGTTACATGAGGTTATGTATGTTATTTGGTTGTAGAGTTTTTGCTGTGGTGTAGCTGACAGGTGATGAGTGTCTGAACCAGAGTAGAGAGAATAATTAATGATAATTAATGCTATTTTGGAGATAACAGGCATAGGACTTAGTGATTAATGACTGATTATGGAGTTTGAGGGAAGAGGGTAAATGCTAGGAATGCCTTCTGAGTTGTTTTGTTGGTAAGTTTATTTCATGGACAAAGATAATATAGAAAGTAGACCAAGTATATTCTATTTGAAGTTCCTGAGACACGTAATCAGTCCTCAGATATACCAGAGGCCTTCAAAAAATTCATGCAAAATCCATATTTAAAAAAAATACTATGCAAAGATTTAAAAGATTTTTGCACCTAAATACATTTAAAGTACTTTTGTATACCAGTTTGTAGCACAAGAGATTATTAGGTAAGTGATAGTTGGAGGCTTAAGGGATTGATTTAAGTTGCCTAGAAGTACGAAATAAGAAACTAGAAGCAAGAATAAAGCACAGGGTGTATAGTAAAGAACAGGGGTAGAAGATGAGCTTGCAAAAGAAGCTGAGAGCAAAAGTCAGGAGAGAGTAATGTCTTTACAACCGAGGAAGAAGGATTGTTGCAAAGAAACAAAATAGTCACCAGCTAAGGTAATGTTTGATATGCCTAGGGAAGGAGGAGAAGGACCAGGATAAGAACAGATCGTCAATAGAGACTTTAATTTTATCTTAAATGTTTAATTTTTTATTTTACAAAAAAGTATTCATAGAGGAATAAATTAAACAAAATTCAAGTGTTATGGTTGAGTTTGGGATTTAGAATATTTATTCTGCAAGCATAATTTCAGTGAAATATTTGGCAAAGAAAGATGCCAGGCAGCAGGTGAATCAAATTGTCAATGGAAGGTTTGGAAATATATTATATAACGTATACTTTTATTAAAGTTGCGTTTGTTTTTGTTTAAGGTAGTCAGTGAACAGAAGGTCTCAGCTGTTAAAGAGAATTCTAACTTACTGTTTTTAACTTTTGTGAAGTCTACCAGTCTTTACACAAAAAGGGCTGGGAAGTAAGGAAGTTATATAAATCTTAATATGTAGAATAACCTGAATATGGATTCCCTCTCACTAATGTTTTTCTCTCTCCATTTGTAGTCTTCTTGTCACATATATTCTGGGAGTAATAAATATTAGATTCCTAATATAGGACTGGCACTATTCTAAATTAATGTCTATTTCCTTCTGTACACACATTGTGAGTGAAGAGAATATTGTTTTTTCTGTGATCTTGGTGCAGATACATAGTGTTTCTAAATCTTAATTTTTACATCCACTAAATGGTAACTATTACCTGTCTTTGAGATTATGAGCCCTGAAGATAGGATATAGAAGCACTTAGTGTTGAACCTTGTACTCTATAAATGCTTCTTGAATGTTAGTTGTTGTGTATTTTACTGCCTGCTGCTACCTTCTTTGCCTGTTGCCATTAGTCAGCATCTTAACTCTTTGATGAGAACATTTTTAAACATGAACCACATTTTTAGGACTCAAAGTGCAATTTGTGAATCAAAACCAATATGGGTAAATAAAAATTCATCACAGTTGTTTCAGAACCCTACTTTCAAAAAATGTATCTTCACCATTAATGAAACATACAGGTTTTGTAAACTGTATGGTAGTTCTGTGTTAGTAACCAAAAATTAACCTGGAATATATTTTGGAAGTCTGATAGTTCCTTGTTTTTCACTTACGTAGCCAAATGGCGTTTAATTATGCATTTGTCTTTGTTCACTACAGTCTCTTGTGATGTTTAGTGTTACAAAAGCAGCAGCAGCATGCAACAGTCAACACCTAGCTGTGGAGTGGGAAAAGTTTTTACTGCATGACAGTAGTAGTATGATCTTGGGAAAGTTATTGCTCTGTGCTTTACTTTCCTTGTTTATAAAAATAGTATGCATCTCCAAGGCTGCTGTGAGAATTAATGAGTTAATACACACATAAAATGCTTAGCACATAGTATGCACTTAATAAGCATTACTTACTACCTTTTTTTTTTTTTTTTTTTTACTATTTGCTTTGTGACTTTTGGCAGTCACTTAGCCTCCTAACTCAGCTTGTGTTTCCTAATCTGTAGAGTATCCACATCATTGGTTATTGCAAGGATAAATAAACATGATATGTAAAAGGGCACCCAGGGAGCTGGCCTTGTGGCACAGTGGGTTAAGCTACCACTCGGGATGCTCACATCTCCTGTCAAGTTGCCATTTTTTAGCTCTGGCTCCTCTGCTTCTGATCCAACTTCTGCTAATGCACATGGGAGGCAGTGAATGACTCAAGTGCTTGAGTTCTTGCTACTCAGAGACCCAGATGAAGGTCCTGTCCCTGGCTTCAGCCTGGCCCAGCCTTGGTTGTTGTGGTCATTTGAGGAGTAAATCAGCGTGTAGAAGATATCACTCCCTGCCCCGCACCCTGGCCAAGTAAATAAATAAATCTTTTTTAAAAAGCGAGCACCAAGTTTCCATCACTGTTACCTCATGTTGTCACTACTCTGACTAGTGTTAGTATCAGAGAGGAAGTGCTAAAGGTGGTGCTGACAGTGCTATAAAAGTCTCAGTTCTATAAATTAGAATGAACAAATTAGGAACATTTAATTCCCAGTAACAGTAATTAAGAACATTGCAATTTTTTTCCTGTTATTAAATCCCACTCTGTTTTTCAGACAGTATTACAACAAGTAATTGAAGATGGCTCAAAATATGGATTAAAAAGTGAACTTTTCTCTGGTGTTCCCCAGAAAAAGATCGTGGTTGAATTCAGGTGAGTGCTCACCTACCCATTTTATATGTTGATTAATCAAGCTGAGTGATCAAGGAGTTTTTTACCATCATCATTAGGAGTCTTACTAAATTACATGTGAGAAAATTTAAAATCATTGGGATTTGATATATGTGTGTAAATATATATATATATTTTTTTAAGTTTTATTTGAAAGGCAGAATGACAGTGAGAGAGACAGAGATCTTCCATCCACTGGTTCACTCCCCAAATGGCCAAAATAGCTGGGGCTGTGCCAGGCTGAATTCAGGAGCCAAGAACTCTATTCTGGTCCCTCACATGGGTGGCAGGGGCTCAGGCAGTTGGGCCATTTTTCACTACTTTCCCACGCCCATTAGCAGGGAGCTGAATCAGAAGTGGAACAACTGGGACTCGAACCAACCCTTCAATATGGGACGCAGATGTCCTAAGTAGCAACTCAGTCTGCTGTGCCACATTGCTAGCAATAAGATTAGATTTTCTTCGATCACATTGAATCAGAGTATCATTAAACCATGAATAAAAATAGATTTTGTGGCATATGAGTGAAGCCATTGCAGCACTGGCATCCTATATGGGCATGATTACCAGAGAACAAAGCCTTGTAATATTTATATTGTTTTTTCTTCTAAAATTACTAGAAAAAATAGCTTGAAGTTTTAAAATGGTTCTAGAATCTTCATATACTATGCTATCAGTATAACTATTTAATTTTGAGCTATTTTGAGGTAACTGAAAAAGAAAAGGGAACACTAAGAATACTTTGATAGTATGGCTGTTAGGTTGACAGCTCTAGAAAATTATCAGATACTGTGTTTGTCTTCCTAAGAGCTGAAGAAGAGTTTTGATAAAGTATTTTTCACTTGGAAAGAACTTGCTAGAGCATTTTTCTTCTTGAGTATTTCTGTGGAGAATTTTTGAAAATTAATATTGGGAAATACTACTTTATGTTTACCAACTCATTTTTAAACTGGTTATGATTCACACCTGGGTAATCAGAAAGACTGGGCTTTTCAGATTTCACGTTTGTGCTGTCTCTGCCACTCTCTTGTGTTCTTAGGAAAGGCAGGGATCTCTAAGACTCAGACACAATCACTTTATGGTAAGGACTGATTGCTTAGTAATCTGCAGCTCCTATGGAGGACATATTGTGAGTGAATCTTACACTGTCATATTAAATGGTATTGCTAATCATGATATTAAAATTGAGTTGAGTAGAGTTTAGTTGAGTGGTTGAGATAGAGGATAGCTCAGAAGTCTCTTAAAATATTTAATATTTTTTGAAAATAAAGTTCTCCAGCTCCTCATTAGTGTCTTAAAGCAAGAACCATGTTGATGCCAGTGAATCTGTAGGTCAGGAAATCAGGAGTAGGAGGTTTAGCACCGATCTTCTACCTACCTGAGATCCCTTATGTAACTATAGTCAACTGAGGGGAGAAATCTAAATGGCTCAATTACTTATCTGATCAGGCATCTTTGCCATCTATTACTGATGAGAATGGCAAAGACTTTGTGGCACTCATTAATTATTTCATTATTGTCTTTAAATTCATGAAGGACACATCATTTTCTTCTCTTTGCAGACCCTTCAATAGCATTATTACTCTGATTCCTTTTTATTACTTCACTAACCAGTAAAGGAAAACCAGTAGGAAGGCAGTGTGTAGTATCTGTTACTGTGCATTCATCCTTGAAATGATGCCATTTTAAGTTTTTTGAAACTTGGAAGTTGCCACCAGTACTCACTTTTATCCCCTGTGTTTTTACTTCCACTTCATCATCCCTCTGCTCCAACTGAGCTCTCAGAATACCAGTACTTGGGTCTTGCTTATTTGTTGATTCTTTAGCTTTTCTCTTAAGTTGTTTCCCATATACTGCTTCTTTTTGCTCATGCTTAGAAAAAAGTCTAAGAATAACTGCTCTATTTGAGTTGTATTCTGTAAGCTTTTTGTGTGCCAGTTACTTATTTATAGATTTGCTCCCTTTCCTTTTTTCTTTTTATTAAAGATTTATTTATTTATTTGAAAGTCAGATTTACACAGAGAGAGGAGAGGCAGAGAGAGAAAGAGATCTTCCATCTGGTGGTTCACTCCCCAATCACCTGCAATGGCCAGAACTGTGCCTATCCGAAGCCAGGAGCTTCCTCCAGGTCTCCCACACAGGTGCAGGGGCCCAAGGACTTAGGCCATCTTCTACTGCTGTCCCAGGTCATAGCAGAGAGCTGGACAGGAAGTGGAGCAGCTGGGTCTGGAACCAGGGCCCATATGGGATGCCGGCACTTCAGGCCAGGGCGTTAACCCGCTGCGCCACAGTGCTGGCCCCTCCACTTTCCTCTCTTCCCCTCCCCCCCCCTTTCCTTTTTTCTAAAGCAGTTAAGGAAGGCTGGAATTTTTATGAGTATCTGAATGCTGACGAAGGCAGCCATCTTTGCTCTCTGATAGTTTCCATCTGGCATGGTTAAGGGATCACTGTTCCTTCTTCCCTTGGAAGTTTTCTATATGCTGCAAAGCTTAACCATTTTGGTTTCAGAGTAGAGACAAATGGGGAGTATCAAACGGGCAGGGTCAAACTGATAGAAAGCATTGCTCTTAAATTTCTTCTGAAAATGAGAGAGATACGAAAAGAGAATTTTTAAAATATATATTGTCTCAAATAGAGCAGGCAACTTTTCCACAGAAAAGCAAAGGATAAAATCACTGTTCTGAGGCTGGCTCCCTAATTCAGGTGATGATGGTAATAGGTTAATTACGTAGTAATAACAGATTAGGTTAACTGGGAGCATGGAGATGACTTTGATTCTGAGGCTTTTATTTAACTTTGCCTCACCAATACATGGTAAAGGTTATATATATATATATATAGTCTGCAAACAGTGTGATAAAGTACAAGGGCAGGTGGGTGTTCTTTGTGAACTTGAATTCCACCTGGTAGATGGTGTAAGACCTGGAGCTAACTACTGTTGCTTTTCTCTTCTCTGCTGAGTTAGCCTTTTCTATTTTGTACAGATCAAATGTGGAGGAGCATAGTCTGCAGTGGTGACCTTTCCTCTTCTTTCTTCCCTACCCCTTGTTATTCCCAAATGTGAGGTGCTTTTTTCACAAAACAGGTTGGGAACCTTTGAGGGGTGAGGGTAGCAGTACTGTTAGAAACTGATTCAGTGGTTTTGAATGGGTAGTCTTCTATTTCTGTGGTCTTTTTTCAAGATTTATTTATTTACTTATTTGAGAGGCAGAGAGAGAGAGATCAAAATCTACCTGCTAGTTCACTCCCCAGAGGGCCTCAATGGCCAGAGCTGAGCCGATCCAAAGCCAGGAGCCAGGAGCTTCTTCCAGGTCTCCCACGTGGGTGCAGGGGCCCAAGCACTTGGGCCATTTTCCACTGCTTTCTTAGGCCATTGGCAGGGAGCTGGACTGGAAGTGGAGCAGCCAGAACTGGAATTGCTGCCCATATGGGATGCCAGCACTGCAGGCAGACGCTTAACCTACTATGCCACAGTGCCAGCCCCAATGTGTCCCTTCCTTTAAGACTGAGGAAATTACATGACATAACTTAACAAAAGTCCTAGTAAAATGTCAAAATTGTAATTAGTAGTGGCTGCTTTGGTGGCCAAAGGACTTGAACTTGTATTTTCCATTTTATTTCTTTCTCTTCTCAGTAGGAATGACAGTGTTAGAGAATGGCAGATTGATTTCAAGGATGTTTTGACAAAGCTTGAAAACTCAGATAGTTTGAATTCATCTAATCCTGGAGGAAAAATAGCAAAACTCTATGAAAGTTTTTTTTAATACATTTTATAAATTATTTAGTTTATTTAAAATTCCAAAACAATACTCCATAAAAAGTCTTCTCTCCATCCCAACTCTTTTCCTCCTACTTTCTCAAATGCATCCACAGAATGTCATTGTCTTATTTATCCTCCAGATATTTTGTGGCATTTATGAACAGATTGCACATACTTTACATTGCTCTACTCCTTGTTTTTTTACTCATCAGTTTATCATGGGTGTTCCTTTAATATCAATATACCCAAAGTTGGCTTGTAAATGTATAATTTACGTATCACTACATATAATACAGTTTACCATATTTAAATGATTTGATTAGTTTTGGCAAAGGTGTATGGGTTTTAACTACCATCAGAGTTATGATATACAACTGTTTCTCTGTTGTTTTCTTTAAATGGATACTTACTTTTATTTACAATATTTTATTTCCTTTTATCCTGCTTACTTTGAATTTAATTGCTCCGCCTTTTCTAGTTTCCCAAAGGAGAAGCTTATGGATTTGAAACTTTTCTTCTTTCTTCCTCTTCCTCTTCTTCATTTACAAAGAAGGTCTTCCATATACTCATTCAGTCCCCAAATGAGCACAGCTGTCTGGAGCTAGGCTAGGCCGGAGCCAGTAGAGAGGAACTTCATCTGGGCCTCTCACATGGAGGTCAGGGGCCCAAGTACCTGGGCCATCGTCTGCTGCCTTCTCAGGCGTGTTAGCAGGGATCTTGGTAGGAAGTAGAGCAACTGGGTTTTGAGCACCCAGAACACATACTGGCGCTCATATGGGATGCTGCTGTCTCTAGTGGAGGCTTAACCTGCTGTGCTACAATGCTGGCTGCTTTGCTTTTCTGATATAAATGTTTAATGCTATAGCTTTTTCTGCTTTAGCTCCATTCCACAAATTCACTAGGGAGTCGGTAATGTATGCAGTCCAAGGGCTTACCTGTTCTTGTTCTGTCAGAGATTACAGTCCTTCCCTGCCTACCTTGTGGTCTCATGAAACAACTATTTTAACTATTTCTGGGTTGGTTTTTTGTTTGTTTTTTGGATTGTTTAAAGCAGGAAGGTAAATTCAATCCTTGTTATTTCCTTTTGCTTGGAAAGGAAGGTCTTTTTTTTTAAGCCTATAGAAGAACATTTTCTTTCTAAATAATAAATGAACATCTGAACAGTTTCGTATGCACATATCCGTAAGATCAAATTTTTGAATTGTCTTTTAAAAGATTTGTTTCTTTGAAAGACAGAGTGGTAGAGGGAAAAGACAGAGACAGAAAGAGATCTTCCTTCACTGGTCTCTCTTCAAATGGCTGCAATGACCACGCTGAGCTGGGCAGGCCAAAGCCAGGAACCTGGAACTCCATCCTGTTTTCCCTCATGAGTGGCAAGGGCCTTAGTACTTGGATCATCTTCCACTGCTTTTCCAGGCACCTTAGCAGGGAGCTGGGTCAGAAGTGAAGCAGCCAGAACTAGGGGCTGGCGCTGTGGTGTAGTAGGTTAAGCATCTCCCTGTGGTGCCGGCATCCCATATGGGCACCGGTAGGGGTCCCAGCTGATCCACTTCTAATCCAGCTCGCTGCCAATGCCTGACAAAGCAGTACAAGATGGCCCAGGTGCTTGTGCCCCTGCACGCATATGGGTGACCCAGAAGAAGCTCCTGGCTCCTGACTTTCGATTGGCTCAGCTCTGGCCATTTAGGGAGTGAACCAGCAGATGGAAAATTTCTCCATCTCTGTCTCTGTCTCTCCCCCTCTCTGTCTATAACTCTGCTCTCAAGTAAATAGATAAATCTTTAAAAAAAAAAAAAAATGAAGTACTCATATGAAATGCCAGTGTTGCAGGTGGCAGCTTAACCCACTGTACCATGATGCTAATCCAAAATTGTAAAACTCTTAAAAGAGCATATATAAGGCTTTCAAAACAGACCAAAATTTAACAAGCTGTGTTTAATTTATTTATCACTTTTTATTACTGAAAACCTTAAGAAATTTTCAAACATACTCTAAACAGTAATGAGTATAAAATGAATTAATGCATATAAAGTTCATGAAACTCCCTGTTAGATAGCAAGTGCTTTATAGTTAAATTATTGTATCTTTTCATATACACAGAGGTCATAATTGTGTTGATTGAGAATCTGGAGTAGCGAAACAAATTTGATTATTCTGGAAGGTTTTATGTATAGTATTTTTACTATTTAATTTTTATACAATAAATATTGACAGAGGTTACCCATATGAATAAAATTTCTTTGGAGTCATCAATAATTTTTTGAAACGATAAAAGGTTTGAAAACTGGTGCACTGAAAAATGCCAATAATCTGTGTAGTTTTTTTCAAAACAAAATCTCTGATTTTTTTTTTTTTTAAGATTTATTTTTTTTGAAAGAGTTACACAGAGAAGGAGATGCAGCAAGAGAGAGAGAGAGAGAGAGAGAGAGAGAGAGGGAGAAAGATTGGTCTTCCATCCTCTGGTTCACGCCCCAGTTGGTTGCAACGGATAGAGCTGCGCCAATCCAAAGCTAGGAGCCAGGAGCTTCCTCCGGTTTTCCCACGTGGGTACAGGAGCCCAAGGACTTGGGTCATCTTTCACTGCTTTCCTAGGCCATAGCAGAGAGCTGGATCAGAAGTGGAGCAACTGGGACTTAATCTGGCGCCCATATGGGATGCCGGCATTGCAGGCAGTGTCCTTACCCACTACGCCATAGCACCTGCCCCTCTGAATTTCATTGTTTTCTTAAACAGGTATGCTTCATAAGTGTTCCCCTTCATGAATCACAAGATCAATTTCACTACGATGATTATTTCTGAATTTAATTTATCTTTGCTCTGGATTTCTTGTTTTTTTCTTTTTTAATTTATTTTATTTGAAAGCGTTATAGAGAGAGAGAGGGAAAGATAGAGAGGGAGGGAGATCTTCATCTCTTGGTTCACTCCCCAGATGGCCACAACTGCCAGGGCTGGGCCAGGCTGAAGCCAGGAGCCAAGAACTTCTCCGGGTCTCCCACATAGGTAACAGGCCTAGGCCATCTTCTGATCCTTTTCCTAGACCATTAGCAAGGAGCTGGATCAGAAGTGGAGCAGCCAGGACTCAAATCAGGATCCTTCTGGGATGCCAGCATCACAGGTGGCCTCTTTACCCACTATGCTACAATGCCAACCCTTGGATTTCTCATTTTAAATGAAACTTTGCCCTAAATTGACAAAGGCCCTAGTCTCCAATTATTTCAAACTATAGAGGCATAACCTAGTTTATTCTTAGAATTCTTATTCTGGGAATAAAGAAATCACTTTTCAATTTTTTGCAGTTCACCCAATATTGCCAAAAAATTTCATGTTGGACATTTGCGTTCTACTATCATAGGTAAGTATTTAGTTTCACCAAAAATACTAAAAATGCCTTTGGGAAGTATTTGATAATATAATTCAGTGGTTTATGTTTAAATAACAAAAGGATAAAAACATAAAAGGATTTAAATTGCTGTAGGATCAGTTAAATGTTACCTGAAATGGGAAATATTTAGAAATGGAAAAATGAAATTAATTTAAAAAAAGAGTAATTCAGAAACCAGTTTTAACTGATATTGTAAGTGATGATTTTAACTTTAAAAAATACGTATGCACACAGTTATGAGTATAATAGTAACCCTCTTTTTTTTTGCTAACAGTACATTATATTAGTTTCAGACATGTGTTTCAGACTATATATAGTTTCAGACATGTGAGTACTAACTGAAATGTTCAGGACAGGAAATTAAAACATGAGTATTCTAAAAAAGTGAGATTATTATTGGACTTCATAGCTGCAATGCTTTACTATATAATATTCTTGTGATTTTCATTTATTTAAAATATTACATTATGTAGCAGCCCAATTCAAAAACTGAAACTTGAATTGGAAGGGATTTTGGAGTTTATCTCATCTAATCTGCCTTGCAGCATAGAAATCTATTGAATGCTTAAGAGAAAGTCTTTTAACCTGTACTTGCATTTTTTTTATTATACGAGGTTACTTCAGAAAAGCTTTTTGAAAGTGGCATGAAAAAATGTTTACTTTGGTTCAAAACAATTGAAATCCATGCATAGTTTTTCATAATACATTTTCCATCAACCTTTCAAAAAATTTTTTAAATTTTGTTTTATTTATTTGAAAGAGACTAAGGGAGTCACAGACATTTCCCATTTGACTCACCTAAGTTCTTGCAACAGCCAGGGCTGGACCAGGCTGAAACCAGCAACTGAAAACTCACTGTTGGTCTCCGGTGTAGTGACAGGGACTCAATTGCCTGAACCATCACCTGCTTGTCTCCCAGGGGGCAGATTAGCAAGAAGCTGGAATCAGGAGTAGAGCTGAGATTTAAATCCAGGCACTCTGACATGGGATGCAGGCACCCCAAAAAACATCTCAACAGCTGTGCCAAAGTCCACTCCTCCATGAGCTTTTTGAAGATTAGCAAGGAAGTCAGTGCAGGTCTCGCTTATGAGTGGCAGGAACCCAGATACTTCAGCCATCATAGCTACCTCCCAGAGTCTGGGCATGGAAACTGGTATCAAACCCAGGTAGTCCAGGATGCAGGAGCCTTAACTACTAGTCCAAACACTGACCCCTAAACTTATTTTGAGATTCCGCTTTACCCAAACATTTTGAAGACTCCTTATACAATATTTTAATTTAAAAACTTTTTTCGACAAATTGGAGAGTTTAGTATTTGTAACATAGATTATTATTAACATAGGGTCAACTTGCATTGTTAACAAGCATTTGAGCAGCATTTTAAGAAAGAAAATGACAAATTTTCCTGGATGGAAAAAGAGTGTAAGAAACATACGTATAAGAAAAACTATCTGCAGGCAATGTGGCGCCATGGGTAAACTGGCATCCCATATGGGTGCTGGTTTGTGTCCCCACTGTTCCACTTCTGATTCAGTTCCCTGCTAATGTGCCTGGGAAAGCAGCAGAAGATGGCCCAAGTGATTGGGCCCTGCCACCCATATGGGAGACCTGGAAGAAACTCCTGACTCCTAGCTTCCGCCTGGCCCAGCTCTGGCCGTTGTGACCATTTGAGAAAAGAATCAGTGAATGGAAGATTTCTCTGTGTGTGTGTCTCTCCCTCTGTCTGAAATTCTGCCTTTCAAATAAATAAATTTCAAAAAGAAAAAAAATACCTGAGCAAGTCAAAAGTATTGGAGTGAGTACATGATGGGTATATAGCAAAATAAAGTTATTTTGACAGGGAAATTTTTGGATAAGGAAGAAATATTTATTGAGAACTTAACATGCTAAGTGTTTTCCTGTGTCATCTAATTTAATTTTACAACAGCCATGTTTGATAAGTAATATTTATCCTAGTTTATGAATGAAGAAATTCCGATCCCAATCCTAACTTACCCCAAGTCAAGTTAAGAATTACAGCAACAATTGAAATTAGGCAGTCTGGGGCCAGCGCCTCAGCTCATTAGGCTAATCTTCCACCTGCGGCGCCGGCAAACCAGGTTCTAGTCCCAGTTGGGGTGCCAGATTCTGTTCTGGTTGCTTCTCTTCCAGTCCAGCTCTCTGCTGTGGCCCAGGAGTGCAGTGGAGGATGGTCCAAGTGCTTGGGCCCTGCACCCCATGGGAGACCAGGAGAAGCACCTGGCTCCTGGCTTTGGATCAGTGCAGTGCGCTGGCTGCAGCGGCCATTGCGGGGTGAACCAATGGAAAAGGAAGACCTTTCTCTCTCTCTCTCTAACTCTGCCTGTCAAAAAAAAGAAAGAAAGAAATTAGGCAGTCTGAATTCCAGGAGCCTAGAAGCAAACATTTAATTGGATTTGTGAAATAAGGTGCTAAAAAGCTAGGAATACAGTTTGAGTACCAGTTGCAGGACCCGGTTCTTGTTGTTGAGACTGAAAGTTCTAGAAAGTGTAAGTATGGAGAAGCTGGCAAAGAAGGTAACTGCGGTAATTTAAGTCACTTGTTTGTATTGGTGAGAATTTCTTTACAGAAAACCAAATTCACTCATGATTAAGGCAGTAATAGATTTATTACAGGATATTGAATGGTTTACAAAGTTGTTCAGAGGAATGGAGAAGCTTTGTATTAAGCTGACAAAAGTCACTGCCAAAAGTGCACCATAAAACTTTGGTTGGGTGCCAAGGGAACACCAGTTCCTCTGCAAATACTCCACTGCTCTAGACCCCCATACAAATGAAAGAGGCAGCTCCATGCTTTTGTTTCAGCTCTCAATTGAAAGACACTAGGACTTCAGAAAGAGGTGTCCACCCCCCTCAAAATAAAGCATCCACAACTGTGCTTGTTGGAGAAAAAAAACAGAAGTAGCTCCCCTTCCCAATCTCATATGCACGAAGTAGGTCTGACTGCCCAAACCTAAATGACTTCTGGAGCCCTAACCACAAAGCCACTAGACAATGCACCTTTTTTTTTTTTTTTTTTTTTAAGATTTATTTATTTTACTTGAAAGAGTTACACAAAGAGAGGAGAGGCAGAGAGAGAGAGGTCTTCCATCCGATGGTTCACTCCCCAATTGGCCGCAAGGGCTGGAGCTGCACCGATCCGAAGCCAGGAGCCAAGAGCTTCCTCCAGGTCTCCCACGTGTGTGCAGGGGCCCAAGGACTTGGACCATATTCTGCTTTCCCAGGCCACAGCAGAGAGCTGGACAGGAAGTGGAGCAGCCGAGTCTCAAACCGCGCTTCAGGCCAGGACATTAACCCACTGTGCCACAGCATTGGCCCCAGGGAATGCACTTTTTAGATTCCTTGCCCCTCCAGTATATGAGGACACGCTAGAAGCAACAGGGGGTAGATGTTAAATAGAAAACCAGTATTGGGGCCGGCGCTGTGGCGCAGCAGATTAACACCTTGGCCTGAAGCACGGGAATCTCATATGGGTGCTGGTTTGAGACCTGGCTGCTCCACATCTGATCCAGCTCTCTGCTATGGCCTGGGACAGCAGTAGAAGATGGCCTAAGTCCTTGGGCCCCTGCAGCTGTGTGGGAGACCAGGAAGAAGCTCCTGGCTTCGGATTGGTGCAGCTCTGGCCGTTGCTGCCAATTGGGGAGTGAGCCATCGGATGGAAGATTTCTCTCTCTCTCTCTCTCTCCCTCTCCCTCTCTCTCTCTCTTTCTCTCTTTCCCTGACTCTCCTTCTCTCTGTGTAACTCTAACTTTTAAATAAATGAATAAATCTTAAACAGTATCAGCAGTACAGGAAGGCAAAGCACTCTGACTACTGTGTGGTGTTAGGGAGAGGCACATGGAGAATGGACTTCCATGATTGCTAGAGAATGAGAGTCAGAAAAGTAAAAACCTAAACAAAAAAATAGAACAGTACGGCTCAGGTTCTTGGAGCACAGCCATATTATGAATATAAATTATATACATATAGTTAATTCCTGAAATTCTGTTAATTTCTGTCCTTGGAATTGACTAGGAATAGCAATTCTGTTCCCAGCTTCCACTAATAATGGTGAAAATTTTGTTATCATGAAAAGTATGAGCTGCTTTAGAATAATTGCCCTAAAAGTAGTTCCATTCTGAATGCTTTGATAAAAAACATTGAGTTGGGACATTGTACAAGAAGAATTTTCCATGTCATTCTTTGGTAGTTGTCAAGCCTGTGAATTTAATGCCAAAATGGATAACAGGAATGAGAACCTGTGGATTTTTTTGATTTTTAGGAAATTTTATAGCAAATCTCAAAGAAGCTTTAGGACATCAAGTAACCAGAATAAATTACCTTGGAGATTGGGGCATGCAGTTTGGTAAGTATGTTTGGAAAATTTTTTCTATTTTAAAATTTACTGTTTTTAAATGTGTGTGTGATCATCAGAATAGTATGAGTCCTCATTGGTTGAAACAGTGCATCCTACCTATTTTTGTTCCTAATAACTCTTTTGCATAATCTCATAATTTATTTGGGTAACTTTTTTTAAGATTTATTTATCTGAAAGGCAGATTTACAAAGAGGCATAGGCAGAGAGAAAGAGGTTTTCCATCCACCAGTTCACTCCCCAAATGTCTGCAATGGCTGAAGGTACACTGATCTGAAACCAGGAGTCAGGAGCCTCTTCCGGGTCTCCCACGTGGGTGCAGGGGCCCAAGGACTTAGGCCATCTTCTACTGCTTTGAGGGCCATAGCAGAGAGCTGGATCGAAAGTAGAGCAGCCAGGTCTTGAACCGGTGCCTAAATGGGATGCCAGCACTGGCCCCTTGGTTAATTTTTATCACACAAGTAAATTTTAGGGCCAGAAATATCACATATTCAGAGCAAGACCTGATGATAAAGTAGGTGCTTTTGTGGTTTTAATGAAGAAAAGGAGCTTACAAATTAGTTAAATGTAGAAGTAAGTATACAGGGGAGGAATAAGTCTAATGATCTATACTCTTCTTAATCACAGCCCTGCTATTCTTTTATGTATTAGATTTATTTATTTAAAAGAGTTAGACATATCTTCCATCCAGTGGGTCATTCCCCAAATGACTGCAACAGCTAGGGACTGCCAGGCTCCATCCTGGTCTGCCATGTGGGTAGCAAGGTCCAAGTATGTGGGCCATCTTCTTTTGTTTTCTGAGGCACATTAGCAGGAAACTGGATGGGAAATGCAGCAGCTGGAACTCAAAACAGGCTGCTTTACAGGATGCTGGTATTGCTGATTAACAGCTTAACCAGCTACACCATAGCCCAGCCCTGCTGTTCTTAAATCTAGTGAGGTCCAGCCTCTCTGTGCCATCCTGTATGAAGTGGGATCTGTTACTGTGCCAAGGGGCAGTGACCCCAAACAGAATAAAGTGTAGTACTGCAGTTTCTCCTTTAGCTGTACAGTGGGCACCAGTGGGAAGGAGGGGCCAGGGATGGGGAGAGGGTCCCAAAGTAAGAAAGGATTGAGGCCCAAACACTTGAATGCCACAAATTATCTTTAATTTCATATATTAGTAGAAAACCATTCCTACCTCTTATAAACTGGTAATCAGCATAAGAGAGGACAAGATAAATGAAGTTACTATGATAGAGAAGGACTGATAGCATGAGGAATTAAAACTATTTAAAGTCTCTGGTGATTACCGTGTGTATTTTCAGATCCAGCCCCAGGTCACTCCTGTAAAGCATTTCCTGACACAGTTATCCCCTTGTATACCTTCTTCCATCACCACATTCCTTCCTAGTACCATGCTGTACTCAAATTGGTCTTACTTTATTTTTATTTGTGACCTTCTCTCCGCTGCTAGATGATATGGTCCTTGAAGGTGTGCTCTATGTATTAATTATTTTTGTATCCACAATGCTTGCCATGTAACAGACACTCAGAACAGTGAATGAATCTGTCCCGGGAGTGTGTTCACAATACTAATCCAAAAGAAAGGCTAGGTAATATTTTTAAAGCATCTATCAAGTGTATTAGGTTCTATATCCAGTGAAATGAAATTACAGTTTTCAAAATAAAGCTGGTTCATTTGAAGAAATTTTTCCCCATAGGAAATTTATTGTGACCTTTATGACTAATATCCTTTAGTTAATAAAAATTTTTTTCAGACTCTAGAAAGGAAAGAACTTGAACCATGTTAACAGTTCTATTACTGTTCCCTGTGGAGGAATCTTAAACCATGCCCTGCATTTTGAAAATCCACCTGCAGTCCATAACAGCTGGTAGTCAGAGGTTTAGGCTTGAGGCTCAACAGTCTGACTTAATAGAGTGGCATCCACTTTACACTAGTTTGACTGATTCAGACATTTCACAGACATTAGCAAATATGTGATTATGGTATTCATTAAATTTTAGCTGCAAGATTTATTATAGTGGTTTTTCTCTAAAGAACTACATGGTTAATGATCTGTCAACATTTCCATTATAACCATCATTGTTGAAGAATTGTTATTTTGCAGTTTCAGCCATCCTCATTTCAAAGTTGGCAGGCAGTTCCTAAGCACAGAAAACAATTTTGAAAATGTATTACAGTAATGTTAAATGGAGGAACTTTTACATTTCTCATTTCTTCTTTTCTTTTCTTTTTTTTTTTTTTTTTTTAAAGAACATGCTGGACATCTTTCCACACTCTCTCAAGACCCTAAATCATAATCACTTTTGCTTTCCCTGGAGACTAAATAGAGCTCTAAGCGTCCTTCTTATTCCTATCTAAACTCAAAAGTATTGTATATCCTCATATTAAGTAACTTTCCAGTTTCTGCTTTGTCTTATACAGAAAATGCGCTTCAGAAAAACCCTTTTAGATCTCAGTTTTGGTGATTGATACAGTTATGAAAACAGATTGATTTTTAAAATAATAAAATCTCTTACTTCCTTTGGCCCAGGCGCCATATATCACTTCACATTCAACTTAACAAGATAATCTTCTAGCAAACACATCTGTAGAGTGTAACCCCCTAGTTTACAAATCTTGATTAATATTTTTTTAACAGTTATTTATTTATTCTAAAGGCAAAAGCGCAAGTTGTAGGACTATCTTCTGCTGCTTTCCCAGGCACAGGGAACTGGATTGAAGGTAGAACAGTCAGGACTCGAACCAGTGCCTATAAGGGGATGCTGCAGGTGGCAGCTTACCTGCTGTGCCACAAAGCAGGCCTCTCAATTAGCTTTTGGGTTTTTTTGAAAGATGTATTTATTTATTTGAAAGGCAGAGATACAGAGAGAGAAGGAGAGAGAAAGATGTTCCATCTGCTGGTTCACTCCCCAAATGGCTTCAATGGCCAGGGCTAGGCCAGAGCAAAGCCAAGAACTTCTTCCAGGTCTCCCATGTGGGTGCAGGACTCAAAGTACTTAGGCCATCTTCTGCTGCTTTTCCAGGTGCATTAAGCAGGGGGCTGGATCCAAAATGAAGCAGCTGGGACTCCAACCTATGCTGGTGTGGAAAAGTGACACTGCAGGCAGAGGCTTAACTTTCTATGCCACAGCACTGGCCCCAGCTAGTATTTTTTTTTTTTAAAACAAACTTCCAATTAACACTATCCCTAAACTCTGAATTTATCATTAAAGACTGAAAAAAAAAAAAAAAACATAGCCAAATAAAAGAATTTTGTTGCTTGATTACCTTGAATTTGAGATGCAATCAGGAATGTTTCAAGTTTTATCTGTCTTTGTTTTACTTCAATTGCTTATGAACTAATATAACATCAAGCCCATTCCTTTGTTTATGTTAATAACTGCAAGTTTATAAAGAAAGTTTGGGAGTGCTCGGTTGGTACAGTTCTTAAAATGCCATTTAAGGTGCCCTCATACTGTATTGGAATGCCCTGAGTACAAGTCGAGGCTCGGCCTCCAACTCCAGTTTCCTGCTGATGTGTATTCTGGTAGGCAGTAAGTGATAGCTCAGGTGGTTGAATCCTTGTCACCCACATGGGAGATCTGGTTTGAGTTCTGGCTCCTGTCCCAACTGTTGTGACTATTTGGGCAGTGAACCAGTGAATGGGGAATTCCTTTATATCTCTGTTTGTTTCTTTCCTTTGCCTTTCAAAATAAACAAAACTTAAAAAAAAAACCTATAAAACAAAAGCTTAAAATAAGTGCTGACTGCCTACCATTATGATGTGCACAGAGTATTTGCTTAACAAATGTTTAGATCTGCTAGGAAGGTGTTAGTACAAAGATAAATTAGTCTAACATCCTGCTTTAGATGAGCTCATAGTCTTTTGCTTTCAGTGAATTTAATTTCATGATACTTTGAATATGTAGTATTGAATTTGTGACTCAATATATTGAGTTTAACTTGTATGAGTCACAGAGTAATAGGTGAAAGTATGTGGTTTGCAGTACTTTTGGGGGTCTATAATTATGAGGGATTAATTTTTTAAATAGAACTAACTATACCTGTTTTCTGCCACAGCTTTTCTCTACTTTCCATTGTATAATGTTTCACTTACGGATTATCGTGATAGGTCTTTTGGGAACTGGCTTTCAACTGTTTGGCTATGAAGAAAAACTCCAGTCCAATCCTTTACAACATCTCTTTGAGGTAAGTTGGCAAAAAAACAGTATTAGAAAATGCTTTGATGCTTTTTCAGAGTACTGTGTAGCTTGATAACACATTTTTAATCTCGGAGACTTAAAAGATATGTTCTCTAAAACAAGAAGCCAAAACTGAATTGGAAAAAGAAAATTTTTTTTTCTAGTGAGTTCTTTTCAATTCCAAATCCAGATATTATTTTTATTACTATTTTAATTGAGTTGGGACAGTATTTCTCCAGGTATAGAATCTTAGAATAAACACATGTGATAACAGATTTACTAGAAAAAGAAGTTTCTCCGTTTTTTATGAGTTGATAAGTATTGCAGCTCTCTACATGGTGACACCTATAATTCATTTAGACTTGCAAAATGCGCTATTTTTGCTTTTATTATTTTCGTGTGAGTTTAGTCACATGTATTTCTCTCTGGATTTGTGTGTGCTTTTTCATTTATATACTTCAGCTCATTTTCTGAGTTTTGCCTAATATGAGCTCCTTGCTATTCTTCTTCACATAGTCTCATGGATACTCTGCCTCTCCATCTTCCATCCTTCCTGGAATTCATTAACAAAGTCTTCCCGTCCAAGTAATCTCGAGAGATGTGTTTCTTTTTTAACTGTTCCAAAATTTTGATGCATCAAGGATCGGAGTAAAGGTGTCTGCCCACATATAGGGAACAGCACTAGACACTGCTTCTGCAGCTACAGCCACAGAGAATATGTCATAGTTTTCCTTTGTGTTATGTGATTTCTCTTGCTGTTGATTTTGCAATTAAATTGAACAAAACCACATTCTAGTTCTAAGACTTTTCAAGGTTTGTCATTGCCTTCGAGTTACATGCCTGTGCACTTTAAATACCTATATTTTGATTTATGTTAACCATAAGATTTCTTCTCTCTTTCCCATTAAGGATTTTATTGACAGGCAAGGGTTTAAAAATTAATAACTCTTTATGGTTTTCTGTAAATAAAACGTGCTCTCTTGGTACCTGGAATTTTTACTTATTATGATTTTATACTTTGAATAAGGGTTTGTTTTTTTTATTTTAACCACAGACTTAGGAAACTTTTCATTAGATCCAGGCCCACAGAGACACCCCTTGGCACAGAAAATACAAACACTTGCTTGGAGAACTTTTTGACATTGATTTAGAGTACAGCTTGACACATAAGAGTTACTCCTCTTAGCTTTCCCTTTCCCTACCTCACTGTCCTGGAAATAGCCAACATTTCCTATAATATATTAGCAAAATTCATGCTCGAACTCCATAGAAACTTAAGCTTGCATTTCTTTCTATTCAATTTAATACATGTTCTGCTTTTTGAGATTCATAAATATACTGAGAAATCACCACCCATTTGAGAGGTTATTAACTGATAGACACACATGGGGAAGGAACAGAGGCAGAGGGTGCCTCATGTATGGAGAACAAGAAGGATAGGAGTAATGGTGTTGCTTTCGTTAGTGCTCCTTTGCTCTGACTTCCCATGGGGAACGGCTTTTATAGACAGGAGGCAAGTAAGGTGCACTCACCTTGCTTTTTGTTCATAGAAGAGCACTCATTCTTCCTCCTTCCCTTGCTTGTAGCAAAGTCTAAAATGGCCGCCTCCAGGTTAATGTGTTTTTAAACTAGTTTTTGCAGATCTGGTTTTCAAAATTAAAGTGGATTATAACTTTTAGTGTAAATGAGAATTTTTTTTCCATTTTTTTGGAACCCAGTGCAAATGTTAGTAAAGGAAATGTTTTATTGCTAAAGCTGATTTTATCAGTTAAAAGATGTCTTTGATGCCCTGCCGTGTCTGAGATAGTGTAGTTGGTGATCTCAGATAGCATAGCTGGTTATCATCTTCAGACATTCAAAAAGTCAGGGATGCTGATTCTCAGCCTGAAGTCTTTAAGTGTATTAGTAAATAATGTTAGCACTGGCTGGTGAGAAGTGAAACTTCAGAACAATCTGAAAAAAAATTTTTTTTTTGAAAGAGTTACACAGGGAGAAGAGGAGAAGGAGGGGAGGGGTGCTTGCATCCACTGGTTCATTCCCCAGATGGCCACAATGGCCAGAGCTGTGCCAGTCTGAAGCCGGGAGCTTTCTCTGGGTCTCCCACACAGGTGTAGGAGCCCAAGGACTTGGGCCATCTTCTGCTGCTGTCCCAGGCCATAGCAGAGATCTGGATTGGAAGTGGAGCAGACAGGTCTCGAACCAGCGCCCATGTGGGATGCCTGCACTGTAGGCGATGACCTTTTCCGCTGCACACAGCACTGGCCCCCATAATAGACATTTAAATGATTGGCTATTGGGATTTAAAGTCCTAAATTAAAAAAATAAAGAAAATAAACTCTTTCCTCTTCTGGAAATAAGGACATTTTTTTGCATGTTTACTATACATTGTGTATGTGTATGTGCATTTGTGCATAAGTATGTGAGAAAATCACAAACCAATTGTGGATGTATATGTGTCTTTACTCTTGTCAGATGAACTGTTAAGCAGTTGTCAGAGGTAGATCACTTAAAAATCAGGAAGTTTGCATTGTTTTATTTTACCCCCTCTATTTTCCCTTACTTTACCAAAATCTTTCTCTAGCTGGCAATGTGTACTTTAGTCTGGACTTACTAAGATTAACTCATGGAAAACAATTTTTTATGATATATGACAGGTCACCCCAAGATCAACTTCTTGCTAGTGGCTCACTTTTAAGACTCGCAGGATGCAGCATATCATCATATTTGGGACTGTGATTTATTACAGTGAAAATACAGAAAGCAAATTAGCGATGAGAAAGGCACATGGGTTGAAGTACAGAGGAAATGAGTCCCAAGCTTCCAAGGGTCCTTTCCCACTAGAATCACACAGGATGTACTTAATTCTTTGGGAAACAAATTATAATAACACATGTGAAATGTTTTCTACGGGGGAAACTTGTTGCATACTCCCTTGTCCAAGGTGGGATTGATCATGTTGTACCCTCAGCCTAGCACATCCTGAGTTCCAAAGTTCCAGAAGGAAAACAGGTGGTGAAACAGTTTATGTGTAGTGAGCCACTTTTATCAGTTAAGTTGGTAGAAATATTCTCAAACTTGAAGTTTCCACATGCCAGCTGCTAGCCAATCTTGGGAGCAAGACATTTTAAAGATAGCAGTCTCAGACCTTCTGTGATAATTTTTCTGAACATTGTGACTTAAATAGGAAAAACAGTTACGTAATTTTAACCTTTACTTAGAAACATTTATTCAAATCTGCCATTCCAGTAATTAACATAAACCACCTATTAAGATGAGACATTTTTTGGCCGGCGCTGAAGCTCACTAGGCTAATCCTCCGCCTACGGCGCCGGCACCCTGGTTCTAGTCCCAGTTGGGGCGCCAGATTCTGTCCCGGTTGCTCTTCTTCCAGTCCAGCTCTCTGCTGTGGCCTGGGAGTGCAGTGGAGGATGGCCCAAGTCCTTGGGCCCTGCACCTGCATGGGAGACCAGGAGGAAGCACCTGGCTCCTGGCTTCGGATTGGCGCAGCTCACTCGCTGCAGTGTGCCAGCCATAGCAGCCACTTGGGGGGTGAACCAATGGAAAAGGAAGACCTTTCTCTCTGTCTTTCTCTCTCACTGTCTAACTCTGCCTGTCAAAAAAAATAAAAATTAAAAAAAAAAAGATGAGATTTTTTACCTTGAGAGAGACATTTAATGCATTGTCAACTTTGTTAGAAGTATCTAGTTTGTATAAGCCTTAAAATCATTGTTTCTACCCAAATGCTACTACCAAGACATTTTGATGTTCCTGCTATAAGAGTTGAGAAGCCTCATTTCTTTTTAGTAGTTTACTTACCAATTTCTTTTGCTTTTTTGCTACTTTAGTAGCTTTCTAGAAATAATATGATAGTGAACTTGTCAGTCATTTCTCAACCTAGAAGTGAGTTACAACTTTTAAGTAAACTCTTTGTAGTTCACATGCATAACATCAATACTACTTAAACTATTATATTAAGATTTTAATATCATTTATTAACTTTGTACTTTGAAAGCTAGAAGGTGGTTAAAACTTCATTGGAACACAGAATCCGAGAGCTGGAAGAGTAAGTCCTTAATAAGGCATTGACTTCTGCTCCAGTGATTGGATGGGTGAAGAACTAAACCAGCCAAGACAGGTGGTGCTAAAAACATGCTGGAAGTGGGTGCTCCACACAATTTTTTTTTCCTGTTTAATGGACATGTAATAGTTGTACATATTTTGGGAGTACTACCTGATAACTCAATACATTTATGCAATATGAGTATCAAATCAAAGCAATTAGCATTTCCTTCTCTATTATTTTCTTTATATTGGGCCTTTAAATTCTTCTAGTTCTTAATTTATTCTTCCTATCTAACTTTTGATCTACACAGTTCCTAGGAATCCATGCTGGAGTATAATTTATCTTCACAAAAAGTCCTGTTTACTTTTTACCAAGATCCTGTGCTTCACTGGTCTTTCAGTTTTGGAGAACAGTTGAAAATCTTTGATTAAGCCGACTCCTAAATCATGTTCTGCCCCTTTCTTGGCCAAATTGAGCCATCCCATTTCTTCAGCCCTTCTCACAGAAATTGGAAGAATACTTTGTCATTTTGAACAAAATTAGAAGAAATACAAGCTTAGTCAACCTAGGCATCTATGAACTTAGATGAGAAGAAAAAAAAATTAAACTTTATTTTGACTAACCTTTATCAGAAATTTTCTTCTGTTACTATATCACACGTTTACATTCCTTAAAAATATTTAGTTTGTATGCACAAGGATTATTGCAAGGTAAACTCTTCCTTCGTAATCCTGTATATTTAATTGTATGCATTTCTAAACTTGAGGGGAGGGCTGCAGACAATAGGCTTTACTACAGGCATGTGGCAAAGGTGAGGGAAAAAAGCAACCACTGGTGAGGCCACTTAGGTAACTTGTAAATGAGAAAGCTCAGGATTGTGCTTCGTTTTCTTCTTTTCCTTATTGAAGATAACATTGGCTATAAGTGTACTTCATTTAATTACTGTTATACTTTTAGATTTATGTACAAGTTAATAAAGAAGCAGCAGATGATAAAAGTGTAGCAAAATCAGCACAGGAGTTCTTCCAGAGATTGGAACTGGGTGATGCACAAGCATTTTCACTGTGGCAAAAATTTCGGGACTTGAGTATTGAAGAGTACATCAGAATTTACAAGGTAATCTATCTGTGATTCTCCTTCCTGCTCTCCACTGCATGGTAAAGCCACTGCTTCAGCTCATGTTTTAAGAGTAGATTTCTGGTTGAATAGAAAACTGGAACTCAAATATTACTCTTTGATCAGAAAGTTAAAGTTGCAAAATAATCCTGAAGTGGTATCTCACCTCTGAATATTTCATTTCGGTCTGGCTTTCATCTTCTCTCTTCTCTCATTCCTTCATTAATGTGATGAGAATTCATTCATTCATTTAATAAACACTTTGGAGGGAGGGGTACAACAATGAATAAGAGGTAAAACTCCTTGCTGTCATGGACCTTACAGGAGACAAAACAAATTAAAGAAAATGAAACAAGAAACATATGCAGTCTATTATATGGTGGTAGATGGAGGTGAGATGAGGAGATATGGAGAGATGAGGTGTGCACTATCAGTAGGACGAGGAGTGTTTTGGTAAAGAAGTCGTGTGGCTAGAGGAAGTAAGCAAGATGAAGCACAGAAGGAAGGAAATGGAGGTGATTGTAGTGTCAAGCTCATTGTAGGCCATTCTCAGAGAGGGTTGTCCGGTATAGCTTTCTGCTATATGAATGTTCTGCATTTGTGCTGTCCAGTATGGCAGTCGCAAGGTATATGTGTTATTGAGCACTTGAGGTATGAGTAGTATGACTGGGAAACTAAATTTGCAATTAATTTTAAAGAGCTGCATGTACCATGTGATTCCCATATTCATATTCATTTCACTAACAGTTCTATATAGCATACTACTGATGTGAGCAAAGGAGTGACTTGATCTAATTTTTCCTGTTTGTGACAGATAGTGAACCATCCTTAATTTTGTCTTAGTTAAATCTCATCCTAACATTTTGTAAAATTTTGTCTCTGAACCCTTCTAGCGTCTAGATGTCTACTTCGATGAATATTCGGGAGAATCATTTTATCGTGAAAAATCTCGGGAAATCTTAAAGTTGCTGGACAGTAAAGGACTCCTAAAGAAAACAGTGTATGGTCAAATTACTGTTTGTTGCTTTAGTTTCTTGTTCTTTGAAATTAATATTGATGTATTATTTCAGTAAGAACAACAGAATCTGGTGAGCAGCTTTCCAGGTGTCTTTCTTAGTGCTTTTTGCTGTTCAAAGCACCTTTCCCCATGTGATCTTGCTTACTTAGCAAAAGGCTAATAAGATTGGGAGAAAGGATGTTATCTGTACTTTATACAGGAAAGAACTGAAGCTTAGAAAATGCAAGTGACTTTACTAAAGTCACACACCTGATAATGGTATAACTGGAAGAAGGAACTAGAACCTATTTCTGTCTCAACCATACCCTTTATAAAAAATCCTTTTAAAGAAAAGATTTAAGGCAGCTTATGAAGACAGGATAAAAGCTCTTTAAAAAGTATAATGAAGAAATCAGGAAGTAGGGTCAGGAAAAGTAAAACGAAGTTAGAGATGATAGATGAGGTTACTGCATCCACTTATGTAGATTTCTTTTTTTTATTGTTTTTAAAGGAGAAATAACAAATTGAATTATATTTATGGTGTGCTACATTATGTTTTCAATATGTATCATGGAATGTTTAAATCAAGGTAACATGTCCATCACCTCATCTAGGTACCTGTACTATATTTTATTTATTTATTTATTTATTTATTTATTTATTTTTTGACAGGCAGAGTGGATAGTGAGAGAGAGAGACAGAGAGAAAGGTCTTCCTTTGCTGTTGGTTCACCCTCCAATGGCCGCTGCGGCCGGTGCGCTGCGGCCGGTGCACCGTGCTGATCTGAAGCCAGGAGCCAGGTGCTTCTCCTGGTCTCCCATGGGGTGCAGGGCCCAAGCACTTGGGCCATCCTCCACTGCACTCCCGGGCCACAGCAGAGAGCTGGCCTGGAAGAGGGGCAACCAGGACTAGAACCCGGTGTGCTGGCGCCGCAAGGCAGAGGATTAGTCTATTGAGCCGCGGCGCCGGCCTTGTACTATATATTATAACTAGTTATAGTCACAATGTAAATTTATAGAACTTATTCCTCCTATCTTAGTGAAATTTTGTGCCCTTTAATTATTTTCTCCCTATTCTCCACTTTTGGTAACCACCATTATACTCTGTTTCTCTAGAACAATTTTTAAATTTCCGGAAAAAAAAGTTATTTATTTGAAAGGCATAGTGACAGAGACATCTTGCATCTGCTGGGTCACTACCCAGATGGACAGCCAAGTCTGAACCAGGGCAAAGACAGAAGCCAAAAACTCCATTCTGGTCTTCCACATGGGTGGCAGTGGCCCAAGCACTTGGGCCATCTTCTGCTGCCTTCCCAAATGCATTAACAGGAAGCTGGACCAGAAGTAGAGTAGCTGTGACTCTATCCAGCACTCCAGTATGGTTTACCAATAGTATGGGTTGCCAACATTGCAAACTGCAGCTTAATCCACCACATTACAATGCCAGCCTTGAGAACAGTTTTTTAGATTCTACATATAAATGAGATTCTTTTTCTGTGTCTGGCTAATTCACTCAGCATAATGGCCTCCAGGTTCATCCATGTTGTCACAGATAATGGATTTCCTTTTTGTGTTTTAAGGCTGAAGTATTTATACTCTTTTATCCACTCATCCATCGATGAACACTTGAGTCTATTCTGTATGTTGGCCATTGTTGAGTAATGCTGGGATGAACATGGCAGGTCAGGTATCTTTTCTACATACTGACTAAATTTCCTTTTGTTATATATTCAGTAGTGAGATTGCTAGGTCATATGGTAAATCTGTTTTTAATTCTTTGGGGAACCTCTGTTCTGTTTTCTGTAATTTTGCTAGTATCTGTGCTCTTTATTCTATTTGATTGGTCTGTATGTCTTTTTGTGCCAATACCTTCATTGTTTTGATTCGTTTAGCTTTGTAGTAGAATTTGAGACCAAATAGTGTGGTACATCCAGCTTTGTTCTTTTTATTCCAGAATGCTTTTGCTGGGGAAGGTCTATAGCCCAGCTGTTAAAGTCACTGGTCTGTTTAGGACTCCTTACTCCATATTTGAGTACCTGAGTTTGATGCCCTTCTCCACCATTGACTCCAGCTTCCTGCTAATGTACACCCTAAGAAACAGCAGGAGGATGTCTCAAATAATTAGGTCCCAGACCCTCACCTGGGAGACCCGGATTGAGTGGCTCCTAGCTTTGTCTCTGGCTGGGAACTTTTGCAAGCATTTGGAGAGTGAGCCAGCAGATGAAGAGTTTACCCTCTCCCTTTCCCTCTCAAATACAATTTTAAAAATTAAAAAAAAAAAAGATTGCTTTTACTGTTTGGAGTCTTTTATGGTTCCATATGAATTTGAGGAATGTGTTTTCTGTTTCTGTAAAAAAAATATCGTTGAGAATGGGCATTGTTGTATGGTAGATACATGGCTGACACCTGTATCTTAGAGTCCTGGGATCAAGTCCCACTTTCACTTCGAGTCCTGCAGCAGATATTGTCTCAAGCACTTGGACTCCTGCTGCCTGTGTGGGAGACAGGAATGGAGTGCCTGGCTCCAGGCTTTGGCTTGGTCCAGCCAGGCCTGGCTGCTATGGGCATTTAAGAAGTGAATTAGCAGATGGTAGTTGGATTTCTCTCTCTCTCTTTCTGTCACTCTGCCTTTCAAATGAATAAGTAAACATTAACAAAACACGTTGTTGGAATTTTGATAGGGACTATATATTGAATATATAGATCACTTGGAGTATGGACATTTTTATGACATTCTTCCAATCCATAAACACACGAAGTTTTTCTATTCACTTGTGCATTTGTGTTTGATTTCTTTCATATTTTATAGTTTTTGGTTTATAGATCTTTAACTTTCTTAAGTTTGTTCCTAAGTATTTTAATTTTTTAATGTTACTATAAGTGGGATTGTTTTTCTTCATTTCTTTCTTAGATAGTTCATTGTTCCTACAGAGAAAAGCTAGTTATTCTTGTATGTTGGTTTTGTATCCTACAATTTTATTAAATTCATTTATTCTGATAATTTTTTGTTAGACCATTCTCTGTTGCCTGCAGACTGTTTCATCTCTTCCTTTCCAATGCAGAAGACTTTCATTACTTTTTTGCTTGCCTATTTTACATTTTAGCTTTCTGTCAGCTTAAGAAAAATAGTCCCAGTCATAGAAGTCCAAGCAGCCATAATATAGAAGCAAACTAGTTGCTTGGAAGTATCACTTTTCATAACACCAAAGCCAGATTTCTCCTCTCATCATTATAGAGAGGACTTGGAAAATATGATTAATAATATCCTCAGTTAAATCTTTTTAGGAAAATTTTTAGACTGTCCTATATCCCAGTTTTTGGCAAAGCTAGAAAGATAATAACAAAATTCTATGGTTATAATACTCAAGAGTATATTTTCTAGCACGTTATAATAGCTTGTATTAGAAGAGGAATCTGATATTTCTTGGTTAAGCTGCAGTTGCAATCTCATTTTCCAACTGAGTATATTAAAGATTTTATCTGAGCACCTTATCCAGAGCTACAGATTAGAAAGAGAATAACCAACTGTTAGTTACAACATCCCCACTTCTTAATAGATTCTCAGTCATATCTCTTCTTTGTTTTTTTTCCCATTGTTGTCTATAGCGTGAATAGACACTTATTAGTTGGGTAATGTGACTAGCTTCTAGTTTGCCAAACATAATGTTATGGAAGTTACACTTTTAAAGTCTTAATTTATTATGCTGCTTCAGAGTGATCTGTTTACATTTCTAGAAAAGGAACTGCTGTAGTGGATCTCTCTGGGAACAGTGACCCCTCTTCAATTTGTACTGTAATGCGAAGTGATGGGACTTCTCTTTATGCAACCAGGTTTGTAGGTGCTGTTGTTGGGATGTACATATGTCTTCAAGTTCTTTGTCTTATGGTTAATGTCAAGGCAACCATTTTATCTCTAAAACAGTTATCAGATCCTAGTTGTAAGTTCTAAATCTGTTGCTTTCACATTCAAAAACTATTTATTGGGTTTCTCTCTGTTGTAAAGATTTAACGTGAAGGTACTTTAAAACATTTTTGGGGGCCAGTGTTGTGGCATAGTGGGTAAAACTACCACCTGCAACACCAGCATCTCATATGGGCACCGGTTCCTGTCCTGGCTGCTCCGCTTCCAGTCCAGCTCCCGCTAATGGCCTGTAAAAAGCTGTGGAAGATGGCTCAAGTGTTTGGGTCCTTGTCACCCATGTAGGAGACGTATGAAGCTCCTGGCTTTGGCCTGGCCCAGCCCTTGCTGTTGCAGCCATCTAGGGAATGGACCAGCAGATGGAAGATCTGTCTCTGTCTCTCCCTCCCTCTCTCTCTCTAACTCTGACTTTTAAACAAATAAATCTTTAAAACATACACACACATTATTGGAAAAATGGAATTAAAATATAATTTTATTTGGGAGGCAAAAATATTTTGAAATGTATGCATAATTTTTTTCATAATACATGTTTTCTATAAAGTTTTTGAGGTTCCCTTGGATCATCAGAAAAGTGACCAAAAAATTTTATGTCTAGTTAAGCATCGTAAGATTTCCAAAGCTATATATTGCTCTACAAACTATAAAACAGCAGAGGTACTTATGTTTTAGAATTGCATGTTTGGCAGGAATCTACACAAAAAGGAGATATTAGCTCAGTGGTTCTTCACACTATAAATACCATCTTACATGCACATACCAGGCCTCATGATAATTGTGGTGAATAGGCTAGGGAAGAAGTAAGCCATGCCACTTTTTATTTTTTTAACCATTTTCATAACTGACCCTTATGGGAAGGAGCAGTCTCTGTTAATCAGCAAGAAGTAGGCTTAGCAAGCATACTTATTTGTGGGGTAAGGCTAACAGGAAGAAGATAGGACAAGAAAAAAGACACACAAGCCAACATGACCTTACCTAAGCACTGCGGGCAAACGGCTCTGGTGTCTTCCAGGCCAATTTTATGTTAGCTCACAAAACACTTTCATAACATAGATAATGTAATGGTACTTTATTGTTGCCATTAACTACCATCATTTGTTCCAATTTCAAACAACCAATCAAGTCTCTTATCTGCCCCTTAGAAAATTCCTTTTATTTTTTGATTTTTGCTTTAGCAGTTCCATGCAGTTGAAGTCAAGAAGAACTTATATATACAAGGTACATAATTTACATAATATATATTATATCTAGCAGAGAATACTGAACACAGCATGCAGTTTGAGGCTGGAGACCTGGATTTCTTTGCTTCTGACACCATGACCATCACTTAATTCTCTGGGCCCTGGTTCCCCACTCTGTATATGAGAAACCTGGACTAAATGACCTGGCATTTATTTTTTCAGGCTTTCAAATTCAGTTTCTACAAACTCAACCTAGAACTTTTCCTTAGATTCTTCTCTTTTGTTCTTTCAGGCTTACTGTCGAAAAAAAATTTTTTTTGACTGAAACCAAGAAATATATCACCAGTGTGGTTTTTTGTTTTTGTTTTTCTAAAGATTTATTTATTTTACTTGAAAGTCATAGTCACACAGATAGAGGAGAGGCAGAGAGAGAGAGAGGTCTTGCATCCGATGGTTCACTCCCCAATTGGCCGCAATGGCCGGAGCTGCACCAATCTGAAGCAAGGAGCTTCTTCTGGGTCTCCCATGTGGGTGCAGGGGCCCAAGGACTTGGACCATATTCTGCTTTCCCAGGCCATAGCAGAGAGCTGGATCAGAAGTGAACAGCCGGGACTCAAACTGGCATCCATATGGGATGCCGGCATTGGACGTGGAGGCTTATTACCCTTCTATGCCACAATGCTGGCCCCCTATGACATACTATTACCCAAAATTATAAACTTCTTTATTTTTATAATTCTTGGCTTGATATTTTATAGTTTATTGTTTATTTTTCATTATTTATACTATGTACAAACCAGGCATTTTGTACTTAATAGGCGATAAAAATCAGTAAAATTTTCATTAAAGAATTTTATGGTCTTTTAAAATGCTTGAGAAGGTATTGCTGTGACAGGCCCAAGACTTTGAAAAATTTTAATAGTATTAAAAGGAAAGTCGTTAAAATATGCTTGTTTATCTGCTGCTTTACCTGTATTTTAAGAATGTCCCTCAAGAGAATGTATTACAGAGAAGTAACAGTTAGGTAATTGTTTTCAGTAGAGACTTCATTAATCATAAAACATTTACCTACATGACAGTTTACCCAGAGCTGTTTTAGTTATTGTCACCATTGTCCTAGAACTTTTATTTATATTTAGTTTTTAATTTAGTTTTTATTTCCTTTTCCTGTGCCTTTTTATTATTGTTTTCCCAAGCCTATTTTGTTATTTTGTATCAAAGCATGATAATGTCATTATGCAAGTGTGGATGGGATACCCCAGGCTATGCAGTAGTGGGAGTTCTTAATTAGAAAAGTCTCATTGCTACTAAATAAATGAAACAAATTATTACCCAGATCTCCTCAGTAACTCTTGATTTATGGCCTTTTCTTCAGAGATCTTGCAGCTGCCATAGATCGAATGGACAAGTATAATTTTGATACAATGATTTATGTGGTAAGTAATCACAATAAAGAAAAGAGTAAAATCCTTATCTCATGAAAACTACAGATTGAAATTGGGTGCCATGTTGAAAATTACAGAAAAGTAATCATGTCAGACTACAGAGAGAATTCAGCATCAAGTGTATTAAAGTTGGCAACCTCTACAAAATTTTTAATTTATAAATATAAAAGCTCAGATTGCTTTAGAAGGAAAAAATATTACTCAAATTGAGGAAGTGGTTATGTGAAATTAATATGTACAGTTTGCTATAATGTGATTGTTTTTAAAGTTTTTAGAATACAGAGACTTTGAAAATTCATGGAAAAACAGAATTACAAGATGTTTATTTTGTTGCAATAAGTTTTGAAATCCATGCATAGGAAGGGGTCATAAATGTGTATTATGAAAAATTACATGCATGTTTTTAAAATTTTGCACCAAAATATCCTTTAATTCTTTTTTTTTTTTTGAAAGGCAATGGCCGGCACCGTGGCTCAATAGGCTAATCCTCCGCCTTGTGGCGCCGGCACACCAGATTCTAGTCCCGGTCGGGGCGCCGGATTTTGTCCCGGTTGCCCCTCTTCCAGGCCAGCTCTCTGCTATGGCCCGGGAGTGCAGTGGAGGATGGCCCAAGTCTTTGGGCCCTGCACTCGCGTGGGAGACCAGGGGAAGCACCTGGCTCCTGGCTTCGGATCAGCGCGATGTGCCGGCCGCAGGGCACCGGCCGCGGCGGCCATTGGAGGGTGAACCAACAGTAAAGGAAGACCTTTCTCTCTGTCTCTCTCTCTCACTATCCACTCTGCCTGTCAAAAAAAAGAAAGGCAAAGTGACAGAGGGAGAGAGGCAGAGTAAAAGATTGTCCATTCTCTGGTTTACTCCCCAAATGACCACAACTGCTGGGGTGAACCAGGCCAAAGCCAAGAGCCCAGAACTCCGTCCAGGTCTCCCACATGGGTGGCAGGTGCCTAGCACTTGGACCACCATTCACTGCTTCCCCAGCCACATTAGCAGGGAACCTACATTCCAATACCAAGTGCTGGCATTACAGGCAGTGGTTTAACCCAGTGTTCCACAATGCTGCTCCCCAACCTCCTCCACAAATACACACACACACACACACACACACATTTCTCATTTTAAAATGCCCATGTAGTTTGGTTCACAGTAAGTTTCAAAGTAGTATATAGCACAGTGTTTGTTTGTTTTTTAAGATTTATTTTATTTATTTGAAAGCCAATTACAGAGAAAGGTAGAGCCAGAGAGAGAGGTCCTCCTTTCAGTGGTTCACTTCCCAAATGACTACAATGGCCAGAGCTGAGCTGATCTGAAGCCAGGAGCTTCTTCTGGGTCTCCCACGCTGGTGCAGGGGTCCAAGCACTTGGGCCATCTTTTGCTGCTTTCCCAGGCCATAGCCAAGAACTGGATTGAAAGTGGAGCAGCTGGGACTTGAACCAGTACCCATATGGGATGCCAGCGCTGCAGGCCAGGGCTTGGGGCTTTAACCTGCTATGCCATAGCGCTGTCCCCCTAGTACAGTGTTTTTGTGTGGCCTTCACCTAGCTTCCTCCAGATGTTTCTTACATATACATAATACTTTATGAATACCAGGAAATTGACATTGGTGGGTGTCTTATTGATATTTCACCAGTATTTACATGCACTCTTGTGTGGATGTGAAGTGTGGGAGTGGTTTGGTGAAATTTTATCACATGTATAGATTTGTGTGACTACACCCACATTCAGACTACAGAACTTTTCCATCACAAAATAATCTCCGGCATGGCCAACCCCATAATAATTCAACCTTGTCCCCAACCCTGACCTTGGCAACCACTGGTGTATTCTGTATCACTCTGGTTTTGTCACTTTGATGGAATCACACAGTATATATATAGCCTTTTGAGATTGACTTGTTTTACTCAGCATGTGATTGCCTTTGAGATCCATCCAAAGTAGTGTATATGTCAAGTTTTTTCCTTTTATTGTTGAGGTATTCCAGTCTATTCTCTGCTTTCCTTTTCATGTACAACTTCGCTTTTCACTACAAAGTTGTCATCAAACGTTAAAATTTAGTTTTAGGTTTCTTGGAGGTAAGGGTCGTAATACCTGAGAGGGAAGGAATTTAGATAGAGTACTTAGAAGGTTCAAGTTCATATTTCCTCCTTAACTGGAAGGCTGAGGCTCTTATTTCCCTGTGTGGTGTAGCACACAGATTAGATAGTCTTCTAGTAGCATCATCTTTGTGTGTTGATTTAAAATATATTCACTGAGACTGGTGTTGTGACCTAACAGGTTAAGCAACCACCTACAGTGCTGGCGTCCCATATGGGTGCTAGTTTGAATCCTGACTACTCCATTTTGGATACAACTCCCTGCTGATAATGCACCTGAGAAACCAGCAGAGGATGACCCAAGACCTTGGGCCCCTGCACCCCTGTGGGAGACTTGGATGAAGCTTCTGGCTCCTGCCTTTGGCTTGGACCAGCCCTGGCCGTTATGACCATTTGGAGAGTGAACCATCAGATGGAAGACTGCTCTGTATCTCTCCCTGTTTCTCTAACTCTGCCTTTCAAATAAATAAATCTTTAAAAAATAAATACATAAATAAGTAAAATGTATGCATTGACAATGACTAGTCTGTTAAAGCTCTGTAAATTTGGCTCAGGTCCAAATTATTTTTTGTAGATTAACTTTTCACTGTTCTTTTGTTTCAAATATGTTTTCTCCCCAAGACAGATAAAGGACAAAAAAAGCATTTTCAGCAAGTGTTTCAGATGCTGAAGATCATGGGATATGACTGGGTAGAAAGGTAAAGTCTCCATGGTTCTTAATTGCCTGCTCAGGGTCACTAAAGTTTTGTTAGGTCAACCAAGCTTGAAAAGGTACATAGACAGATTTGCATTCACACTTCAATTCCTTGCTTCAAGATGTTAATGTGGAAAAAAGGTTTCATTTTTGCATTACTTTGTGTCCTGGTTATTTTAACTTGTAGCTCATGAACACTTAATAAATGTATTGTTATTGGACATCTGCTGTCAGTGTCCTGACAGAATTCTTCATTCCAATATTCATCTTCTCCTGTAGGCCACTAACTTAATCACATGGTAGTGATTATCTCTATCAAATGAAGCTGCGTATTTAACATCCTTTGTTCTGGACAATAGATCACATCCTGTTTCACTTTGTTAATTTTTTAAACTCCACTGTGAGGGTTGAAGTTGAGACTGCTTTCTGCCAGGTATCATTAGATAAGTTCATCACCAGTCTTTTTTTCTTTCTAGCTTTCTTTTCTTCTTTTAATATTTATTTATTTATTTGAAAGAGCAAGAGAGAGAGAGGGAAATATTTTTTGGTGGTTCACTCCCCAAATGTTCACAGTAGCCAGATCTGGACCAGGCTGAAGCCAGTAGCCAGGAACTCCTTCCTGGACAACTGTGTGAGTGGTAGGGGCCCAAGCACTTGGACCATCTTTCCCAGGCATTTTAGCAGGAAGCTGGATCAGAAGCAGAGTAGCCAGGACTTAAACCACCACTCCAGTGTGGGATGCTAATGTCTGAAGAAGTGGCTCAGTCCATCAAATGTCCATTCTCTTTCAGGTGCCAGCATGTGCCCTTTGGAGTCGTGCAGGGAATGAAGACTCGAAGAGGAGATGTCACTTTTCTGGAAGATGTATTAAATGAGATTCAATTACGGATGCTACAGAACATGGCTTCTATTAAAAGTGAATTTTCTTTGTTGTTAAAATCATAACTTTTATGCTGCTTTTACGTTTTGCTGTTTGAAGAGTCAGAACTTTTTAGACTTGCTGCTCAGGAGAGTTGTCCTTTTCAATAATTTGAGTGGTACAAGCCTAGACTGCTTTTCATGGACACCTTTAACATCATTCCATTGCCTAAGTCATTATACAAAATTTCTACATTATAAATTAGACACAAGTCATAAGTCCTTATGGCTTTATCAGCTATTTCTACTATCTTACAAGAGAGAAATAAACTGAGGCTGGCGCTACAGTGTAGCAGGTAGAGCTGCCTGTAGTGCCAGCATCCCATATGGGCACTAGTTTGAGTCCTGGCTGCTCCACTTCCAATCCAGATCTCTGGTAATGCACCTGGAAGAGCAGCAGAGGACGGCCCAAGTTCTTGAGTCCCTGAACCCATGTGGGAGACCCAGAAGATGCTCCTAGCCCAGCTGCGGTCATTGCAGCCATTTGAAGAAGGAACTAGTGGATGGAAAACCTCCCTCTCTTTCTCGCTCGCTCTCTCCCTCTACCTCCCTCCCTCCCTCTACCTCTGTCTAACCCTGCCTTTCAAATAAGTTTTTTTAAAAAAACTATTAATTCTTCCTCTTTAATTTCTGCAGGGAAGATGTCATTATCAGGGTAACCTAGCCTAAAATAGAAAGATAAGTACCCTCTGTGAACCTGCTTGTTGTTGATTATCAGCAGACATTCTCAGCAGATTTTATCTCCGGGTCCTTCCTTGATTCTGGCACAGGGTCTTGGGGGTTAAAGATAGCTGTCTCTGTCTTTTTCAGCAACTAAAAAACTTGAGAACCCACAGGAGACTGCAGAGAAGGTCGGGCTGGCTGCGCTCATTATTCAGGTCTGTTAATTCTCCTTCCTGTGAGAGCCCTGTGTCTGGTACTAGGACAAATCCTGAAGCTAAAGATTTCCTATCACTTTAGGACTTCCGCGGTGCACTGCTATCTGACTACCAGTTCAGCTGGGATCGTATTTTCCAGAGTCGTGGGGACACGGGAGTCTTCCTGCAGTACACACATGCCCGACTGCACAGGTGAGAGGTGGCCACAGGACAGTGTCTGCTGCCCTGTCCTTCCCCAGGCTGGGGAGCGGTGACTTAGGAGCAGGCTGCTTTCTGGGCTTTTCCAACAGCTGCTGTTCAAAACTACTTAAAATACAATGGGCCATCTGTTGTTGGTTTTTAAAAATATTATTTAGTAAGCACCTATGTTCTTAAAGTAATCCTGCCAGAGTGTACTGTTACCAGATTTAAGGAAAATGGAGGCATCAGCTCCCACAATGTTAGCATCAGAGTTTAGAACATTGAGTACACCAAGACTGTTTTGTGAGGTAATGTTTATCACTTGCAGCTGTGCGCCCTTGAATGCTATATTTAATTTTTGTGGGTTTTTTTTTTCTTTTCTTTTCTTTCTTTTTTTTTTTTTTTTTTTGATAACAGTTTGGAAGAGACCTTTGGATGTGGTTATCTGAATGACTTCAACACTGCTTGTTTACAAGAGCCCCAGTCTGTTTCAATTCTCCAGCATCTTCTCAGGTAAGACAGGTGTCTGGTATTATCAAGTCCACTTCCGCTTACTGAATTGACTGTTGGGATTTTTGCTGACCATGAGAGTCAGCACACCAGTGGCTGCCTAATTCTTCCTGCCTGTATACTTTAGGTAAAGGTATTCCCCCAAAACAGTTACCTGCCTATGGAGGGTATGAATAAAGCCAGTGCTCAAGGTCCATCTTTGAATATTAAAAATACTATCACTGCTACATTAGCACAGATGGCTAGCATGCTCTAGCCCATAGTCTGAGAATGTAAAGCTGGACAGAAACATAACCTATTGCTTTTGGAAAATATCTTCTCATCCTTGTGAAAAGTTAAGAAAAAGGTTCACCTTTGTCTAGCTTCCCAGAAGACCCTAAGTCCTTCATTTGCCTCTGGCGTTCAGCTCACAGTTTAAATGCATGGGTCTATCCAGTCAAGAGACCACAGCTTTTATGTCTTACACATGGTGTTGGTGAAGCCAGACTTGGCACTAGATGGTTTCTAGAAGCGATGGAGGTAGTTTTGACAAAGGTACTTGCTCTGATTGCCACACAGAAGACAATGTTTTTTTCTCTGAGATCAGAAAACTTTATTCACATGTACCTAATCTGTAAGGAAAATAACACAATCTGGTTTTCTTAGCCTCAAGGGTAGCTCTGATGGTTTATAGATTACATTCCTAAACATGGCTGGAGGCTTTTCACATTCACCTTGTGTATTTAGAAGATTTATTTGTTCATTTTATTTGAAAAGCAGAGTTACAAAGAAGGGCAAAAGACAAGAATTGCTTTTTGCATCTATTAATTCACTCATCAGATAGCCACAACAGCCAGGGCTGCGCCAAGCTGAAGCCACTCCATCCTGGTCTCCCACATGGTAGGAGCCCACGCCCTATCATCTGCTGCTCTCCCAGGCGCATTAGCAGGGAGCTGGATTGGAAGTGGAGCAGCTGGGACTTGAACTTGCACTCTTATAGGATGCCAGCGTTTGCCCCTCACATTCACTTTTCACATTCACTTTAACAGTCATGATTTAATCATTTGCTCTGGAGTAGGCCTAAGGGATATCAAGATGATTTAGAAAGTTCCTACCATTAAGGAATTTGTAAGAAGAAATAAATGTGCCTTTGCCTTCAAATGTACAGTCTTTTTTCACATGCCTCATAATGATGTCAAATCAATCTTCTATCTAAGATGTTTTTAACCTTTAATGTCTTAGCTTCATGTAATATGTGCAGCCTTCCCCTGCCAGCTGCTCCTGTCATCTTTCTTGTAGGTTTGACGAGGTGCTGTATAGATCATCTCAGGACCTTCAACCCAGACACATTGTCAGTTACCTTCTAACTCTAAGGTACTTTATAATTGTTCTATTTGCAGGTGTTTAGACATTTGAGACCTTCTGATCAGACATAGGATCTTTCTTTCATCTGAAGTTTTCCTGTAAGCAAATCTCTTCACCTAAACATTGATGTGTTTTAAATATAGGAACCCTTTCTTCATTTTTATAAATTTGTGACTAATGTTTATTTAGTGTAACATTGAGATATGTCAGACATGTAGCTCATATATTATACTTGAACTGGTCACGGCATTCATTGACTGTACATATGTATTATGATAGTGAACCTGAGACAGGGCCAGTGCTCCGCCCAGTCTTGAGACTCAGAGAGGGCTTCTGTGCTTGCTGTGATCCCTAAAGAAAAGGTGCTCTGAAGAAGAGTGACCGGTGTGTGCAGCATGGATCAGTACCATCGTCTGTATGCTACCACCTCACTCTATAGATGGGGAAGAGCCATACTGTCTTATACTGCTAATTTTAAAGGCTGCTTAACTAAGAAAAAGCTAAAAGGAATCTCTTCTATTTGTAAAACTAACAATGTAATTATAATTTTAATAACCTGCTACTTGGTAGTAAGAAAACCAAGAACAAGATCTAAAGCTTGAGTGTAGTGTGTTTTACTTTATCCATCATAGAGAAGCAGTGAATTCCAATCTCAGCACTACAAATCTGGTTACCTTCTTCAACAGTTCCTGGTTTTTATATATTTTAACTTGGGAGTCAGATATGTAGCTCATATATTACAAGGGGAATCTACTGCTGATCCTCATCTCTCTCTTCCCATTTCAGTCATCTTGCAGCTGTGGCACACAAAACACTGCACATAAAAGACAGTCCTCCCGAAGTGGCGGGGGTAAGTTATGTTGATTATCTCCTGTAGAACCCACAGTGTGTTCAGACTAGTATTGCTAAGTCAGTCTTGTAAATTTTTCTAAAATAATATTGTTGTTGAACTGTAGTACACTTATTGACTTGGGTAATAATTAGATTTAGACTGCAATAATCAATGTTGATATACTTCCCAAAAATACTAAACTATGAAGCACATCTTCCTACATTAAATGTTGTAGTATTGAGTTAGTTCCACTTATATTATATACTGATACTGTCACACTCCTAGTGATAGCTAGAATTTCTTTGCCTTTAGTAAATCTAGGGCACATTAAGATATTGTCCTGTGTTGAATTAGAAGAAAATTAAAATTACTTTAAAAATCATTTTTTAAAGTTATACTTAGCCTATCATCGAATTGAACATTTTAATCATTGTTTATTTTGTAGGCCAGACTTCATCTTTTCAAAGCTGTCCGTTCTGTTTTAGCCAATGGAATGAAGCTTCTTGGAATCACACCTGTATGCAGAATGTAATTTCTTATTAAAATGGCTTTTAATGCTAAGTCACTTCGAGTCACCTATTCTTACATGCCTTGCTGTTCAGAATAGAATTTATACTCATTTTTGCCAAAATATTTATTTTATTAAATGTGACTTGTCAACTTGAATATTCAATCTTTATCCTTTAAGAAAAAAGTCTTCTGGGTTCCCTCATAGTCAGTAGGTACTTAGACGTTTATAGAAAACTCAACATTGTAGTGTCTTTAAGATTTAGAAGGATGTCATCTTACCAGAAACTGGTTTTTTTCCTAAGTTTATTTATTGACTTATTTGAAAGAGTTACATGGCCGGCGCCGCGGCTCAATAGGCTAATCCTCCGCCTGCGGCGCTGGCACACCTGGTTCTAGTCCCAGTAGGGGCACCAGATTCTGTCCCGGTCGCTCCTCTTCCAGTCTAGCTCTCTGCTGTGGCCTGGGAGTGCAGTGGAGGTTGGCCCAAGTCCTTGGGCCCTGCACCCGCATGGGAAACCAGGAGGAAGCACCTGGCTTCTGGCTTCGGAACAGCGCAGTGCGCCACCCACAGCGGCCATTGGAGGGTGAACCAACAGAAAAGGAAGACCTTTCTCTCTCTCTCACTGTCCACTCTGCCTGTCAAAAAAAAAAAAAAAAAAAAAAAAAAAAGAGTTACAGAGGGAGAGAGAAAGAGAGATTTTCCATCTGCTGGTTTACTCTTCAAATGGCCACAGTGATCAGGGCTGGGCCGGGTCAAGCCAGGAGCTTCTTCCATGGGTGCAGGGGCCCAGGCATTTAGGCCATCCTCCACTGCTTTCTCAGGCACATCAGCAGGGAGCTGGATTGGCAGTGGAACAGCCAGGACTCGAACTGGCATCCTTATGGGATCCCGGCACTATAGATGGTGGCTTAACCCAGCACAAAACACAGCACCGGCTCTTAGAAACTATTCTTATAACTGGGACGATGAGATATTTTCATCAAATAATTTATGAGGGGGAAAATTTTTTCTATTTTAATTGTGGCTGGTTCTAATTAAATATAAATAAATCAAACATAACCATCAGGGTGGGCACTTAATCTAGCAGTTAAGACACTGTTTAAGACACCCACATCCTATATTGGTGTACCTGTTTATGTCCCTGCTTCACTCCCGGTTCCAGTCTCCTTCCAATGCGGAGGGTAATATGGCTAAAGAAGGTGGATCTCTGCCATCCATGTGGGAAACCTGGATTGAGTTACCATCTCCTGATTTCTGCCTGGCCCAGACCTGCTGTCACAAGGCTTTGGGCAGTAAACAAGCAGATAGGAGCTCCATCATCTCTCTGCCTCTCAGAAGAAAAATAAGCATATTTGTTTAATATAGCTGACAAATACTCCCAGAAAAACAGACCCATGCTTACCTTTTAGTAGGATATAGGTATCTTAACTGTGTAAACTCAAGAACTGAATACATTTGAATAGACATTGTATGAGGATACTTTAAAAAGTTCATAGAAAATTTCATTAAAATGTTTATTTTCATGAGATTTCAAACCCATGCAGTTTTTCACAATATGTATTTCTATGAACTGTTTAAAAGACTCCCTCATATAAGGATCTTTTTATAAAATGTAGTATATTTAATTAAGCCATAATTTGAAATGGAGACTAATGACAGTCTGTTTTTACAAATAGAGAAGCATGAATCAAAGATTCTCTAGTTAGAATGAATTCTTTTATACTGGCAAGAATGATTTGCCTTCATGGTCTCAGAAAAGACTCATCCATGCAGTCTAAATTTTAAGTGAATTAGCTTCCAGATATATTTTCTATTTAATTTTATTTCTATATTTATTGTTAAAATTCCCTTAGCACAAACCAGCCATGGAATAAAAATGTACAGCAGAAACATGCTTTCCATGTTCAGTAAGCCTCTACTTCTCTGAGAAACGTTCCCCCTTTGAGATCAACGGTAGCCTCCTGCGTATAATTAAGTATAATACCAGAACAATAATAATAGAGCCAGGACTTCAGAAAAACAGCCCTTGAAAAGACTGTTCATGAATTCCTTCAAACTAGTGCCCTTTTTTTTTTTTTTTTAAGATTTATTTATTTTATTTGAAAGTCAGAGTTACACAGAGAGATGGCAGAGAGAGAGGTCTTCCGTCTGCTCGTTCACTCCCCAGTTGGCCACAATGGCCGGAGCTGCGCTGATCCGAAAGCAGGAGCCAGGAGCTTCTTCCAGGTCTCCCATGCGGGTGCAAGGGCCCAAGGACTTGGGCCATCTTCTACTGCTTTCCCAGGCCATAGCAGACAGCTGGATTGGAAGTGGAGCAGCTGAGTCTCAAACCATCGCCCATATGGGATGCCAGTGCTTCAGGCTGGGGTGTTAACCCGCTGTGCCACAGTGCCAGCCCCAAACTAGTGCCCTTAATTGTGATCTAAATTCCATCTTTTGGTTACAGCTTGGCAGAGTTGATTTTAAGTGGTACTTGCAACCAAAGAAAATATTATGGTTTAAGTTATGTTTTTGCACTGACTTATTGGTCTATTACCATATAAAAAGTGATTAAACAGACTAAATACAAATAAATTAATTTTATTGCTGAATTTTCCATTGACATTATAGAAATATTTTTAAAAACACTGCAATTACACAAATTATTTGAGAGTCCAACAATTAACATTACTTTATAAAAAAAAAAGTACAAAAGTGACATTAGAAATTTTTTTTGAAAAAAAGTGTATCTTCTAACGGCAAAGAAACAGGAACCAGACAATGAATGGCACAAATATAGGATTAAAGGAGTACCCAGTCGCCACCCAGAGATCATTGTCTGAGCTATGAAATAGATTCCACTTGAGGAGTTACACATTCTGTTTGTTTCTGAACTACCTTTCTTGTTTTTGCCTTTTTCTTATAAAAAAAGAGTTAGGGCTTTACTGCTGCTAGGACAAATTCACTCTGAATTTTGGAGAACTTTGAGGGGTTGTCCTTCTCCCCTGGTACCTGAAAAAGGGAACAGTTAGTACAGAAATGGCTTTGGCACTTCAACCTTTAAACATTGTCCCAAACCTAGTTATTTGAATATTGTAGCCTCACATGATTTTCTTAAATACCATGTCATCTCCATATTTTTATGTACATCATATATATACAATAAAATTCCTTCATTTTAAAATACAACTTGACCCCATTTGGCCCAGATTAAATCTCTGTATTAGCAATTCCCTGTGACAGCTTGTTTCTTGATTCTTATGCCATGTGGTTGATTTTGTTGTTTTTATTTGTTTAAGCTTCCTTCTGGGATTGACTTAAGGCTCTAGTATAATGCAAACAGTTTAGTCATCTTTCTTCAGGCTCAATTCACACACCAATGATTCTTTCTTTTGAAGCTGTTTCTCCTTGTTGGATTGATGTAGTGTCTTGTCTGGGTAGTCCATACAAATAGATGGAAACACATACAAGAATGGTGCCCAGAGTAAAAGTAAGTGCTGAAAAGAAAGAACACACATACACACATTTGCCTTTTATACTCTGTAACAACAATCATTTGGAAATTCTGACATTTTATTCATGAGTTTTTACTGTCACATCATAAGGGAAATACACAGGGTGGTAAGGATGAAATGCTCATCCATTCTAGCAAAAGAAGAAAAGGTAAAATGAAGGGACTGATGAACACTGATTATGACTGCACTTCTCTAGAACACCAGTTTGCCAGTTTCTGACTAATTAACAAAAGCGCAGTGACTTCTACATAAAACATACACATTCAAAAGAATTCTATAAACATAAAAGGAAATACAGTGAGATGTGTTTAGAATACAAGAGCAAAATTCAGAATTAGGTGACCAGTTACGCAAAACAGTAAGAACTTCAGAATAGGAGATAAAGTGGTGATTCCCCATTTAAAAAAAAATGTTTCGTGTTAGCCTTTTCTCTTACCTCTTTTTCGTCTTAATCAAGAAACCGAATTACAATTGTTCAAACCTGACAAGTCACATTTAAATGGTAATATCAAAACTATATTAAAAATGGAACCATATAACCATATTCTATATGGATTACAATAATGTAATCTTAACAGCTTTAAAAAATGGCATGCAGAGAAATGACATCAAACTATGATTTAAGTTTTCTAATAACTCAAAAAGCCTAGCTGTGGCTCACTTGGCTAATCCTCCGCCTGCAGCGCTGGCACCCTGGGTTCTAGTCCCAGTTGCTTCTCTTCCAGTCCAGCTCTCTGCTGTGGCCCGGGAGTGCAGTGGAGGATGGCCCAAGTGCTTGGGCCCTGCACCCACATGGGAGACCAGGAGAAGCACCTGGCTCCTGGCTTCAGATCAGCAAAGCACGCCAACCGTAGCAGCCATTAGGGGAGTGAACCAATGGAAGGAAGACCTTTCTCTCTCACTAACTCTGCCTGTCAAAAAATAAAAATAAATAAAAAAGCCTAGCTTTGCCTTCAGAAACAGGAGAGAGGTATCTTCCTTACTTTTAAATAGTTATTTGAAAGGTTGCTAAGGCATTGTAGTTGACCATCAGTAAGACAGAACATTGATCAAAAACACTGTATATGCTATTACCAAATACTCCTCAGGACTGGAGGCCTAAGGACTGAACATAAGGATGAATCAGAACTACAATTTAAGAGAAGCATCTAGAAAGTAGAGCAAAATGGAAGCTGAGTATCTTCTCAAAGAGACCAATTTGAATGGCAATTTACCCACCAAGCCACCTTTTCAAGAGTTCAGAAAGTGAAGTGAAAGACCACAGAGCCTAGATTTAGTATAAAGAGGTAAGTCACAATGAAGAAGGAAGGAGCTGCCTGTTGCCCCTTCCCCAGAATGGAGGAAAGAGGAATTAAGTCCAGAACATAGATCTTAAACCTACAACCAAGTCAGAACCTGCTGACTGAGCTTTCAGACCCTACCTAGCAAGGCAGCCTAGGGACCTCCCCCAACATCCAATAGAGAGTGGAGCAAAACTCCCAACTTTGTACAGTAGAGCAGGAAGGTGAGGTG